AGCACGAGGGGCAGTCGTTGCTCGGAGTACCCAAAGATAGTTTCATTGATTGGGTCATAGGGTACATCCCAATATTCCGTACACACCTTTGTGTTGCTGTCTACTCCTGAGCTGGCAGCTGGCCGAGGCTGCTTGGAGAACGGCTCTTCTCCAGGGCCCGGAGTTTCTTTGACGACTGTCCGCGTCATTGATGCCGAAGAACTGGATGCATCCGTAGGAGTTCGGGGTTGGTGCAGCTTCTTGTAGACCCCCAGCTTCCTCTTGAGCTGCTTCAGCTCCACCGACGTCTTCCCTGGGGAGCGGGTAGTCGTTGTGGGCTGGTGTCGGGAGAGGACGTTGACTCCGTGGAAAGGTCGGCTTCTTTCCACACTCCTTAATTTGGTCCCCAAGTTGTCCGGTACCGGTATAATCTCCACAGCTGTCTGCTTCTTTTGGAGTCCCTCCCGAAATTTCTCCAAGGCTCTAGCCCCTCGAACATCATAAGTTTTCATTAAAGCATCTTTATAAGATAACTTTAACGAATTCTTATAATTTCTTGGGTCTTCAAGGAGTTTCCCTGTCTCGGCAGAGTCCATTTTCGCGGAGTCGTATTTTTCCTCGGCGATTTTCCCTGGCGAAGACTGGTCGTGGGGTGGAGATTTTCCCCCATCATTTCCTCCTTCTCGCGTCGAATCAGCTTCGTCGAAGTTGATTTTTCCGGAATCCCGCGGCCGCTTTCGGATCTTTTTATTTTCGCCAGCTAGATCCGCAATCACTCGCGACTCCCGTTTTTTTACTTCTGATTGGCTGAAGGAATTCCGCCACTGTTGCGTGCCCGATACTCTGCGCGTGCGGCCTTCATTTTGTTGCAGTCGAAGATTCGGTGGCCCGGCACCCCGCAAAAATCACACGTGTAGTTGGTGTTTTTCGGACGTGGCCGCCCCTCGAATCTGTCGACTTCCATCGGGTCGGCGAACGTAGGGTGAGCCGAGCGGTCGCCCTGTCGCGTACTGCCGACGTGCGTCCGTCGTGTTCCGGCGTTGACCATGTCGAAGCGCTCCGCTGCCGAAACGACGTCACTGTAGCTCGCGTAGTTTGACACTGCGACTTGTCGTTTGACTTCGGTCTTCAGCCCTGCGAGGTACGATTGCACTTTTTCCCCTTCGGTCAGGTCGGGAATTCGGTTATAAAATTCCTCCATCTGCTGCGTGTACTGTGCTACACTCCCGAACTGTCGATGGCGATGAATTTTTTCGCGGGCAAGGAAACTCGAATTTATCCGTTCGAAGCGTTTCAGCAGGTCGGCGGGGAACTGCTGCCACGTGGCTTCACCGTGGATGAAGGTGCTGTTGCCGCCAATCCACTCGAGTGCCGGCCCTCGCATCAGTGTCGCCGCGAGTCGTACACGTTGGCCGTCCTAGACTGGCGAGCTCCATCCGACGGCTGCGAAGTAGATCTCCATCCCGGCGATCCATCTGCGGGCGTCGGAGTTTCGATCACTCGGATCGAACGGCTCAGGTGGGCGCGGTTTCGGAGCCTCGAGAAACTGCTGCGACTGCTGCGTCGTCGCCGTTGTCGTCTCGTGCTGCGCTCCGGCGAGTCGAGTTACTCGCTCGAATTGGTTTCGCCACGCTTCGCGATCCGCTCGCATTTCCTCCTGAAGGGCTGCGATGCGCGCGAAGAGCTGCTGGGTAACCTCGGCGTTGTCGAAGGTTGCCATCCTGTTCAAAACACGCACGGAGGGGGTAATTCGAAAAATCGCGGAGCTGGTGCTTACCAGAATCGGCGTCGAATTGGTCGCCCCCGGCGGTTTTTCGAGGCAGGATCCCCGCTGCTGCTGCTTAGCTGAGCGCGGTCGAGTGAGAAAAGCTCTGATTACCAAGTGTCACAGGATCGAATGTGTCGGGGAAAGGTTGCACTATCGATCAGTACAAGGCGCTTTTATACTTCCAAAGGACATCAGGTAATCAGGTTTATCTTATCCTAAGGAAATAGACCCTTCTAGAAGATAGAATCACCCTGCGTATAGCCACGCGAGGCTATTGGCTTTAAGGGATTACGGCAGGATTACGCTAGATATAGCGCACCAATACATCCCAAGCCTGGTCGGTGATATAATTATAATAGCAGGATAAACCAAAGGTTAATGGGAAAGGAAGAATAGGAAACCAAATGAGATGTGGTAAAAAGAGAAATAAAAAGGGAAGGAAATAAGGCCAAGTGGTGTAACGGGGTCGTACTCTCACAGAAAGGGAGGGACAGTTGAGTAACTCCAGGGTGACGAGGTCAGCACTGTTATGATTGGGCGAGGGGGGTGTAATCGGCATGATCAAGGGATCACGTTGGGAGGCTGTCGGAGGAGCTTGTACGGGAATGACGTGTGCATGCTTGCGAATGATTACCATAGCATGGTATGTCTGAAGCGGTCGACAGGACGGGGATCCGTCCCGCTTCACAGGATCCTCGACCTAGCAGTGGCAATGGTATATAGGGTAGCTGCTAGTGCTCTGAATCCCGTTCGCTTGTTTGTTTCTTGCACGATTTGAATAAAGCATCACTTAACCCAAGTGACATGTTCTTAGGCAGGGGACTGTTGAGTGGGAGGCTATGGCGTAGCTAAGGCAGCCCAGGCTCGGTAGCTGTTCTTTTTCAAGTGGGTCAGCAGAGCGGGGTACAGGTAGACCCTGAAGGATGCTAAAGGGAGACCCACAGGCAGGCGAGCAAGGGAGGGCAAAGGAGAAGGAGGAAATGGATGGAGTCAAGGAGGGAGGGAGGCTGGCCACCGGCCGTCAGAGGGTTATGAAGGAGAGCAGAGAGAGAAGGGCATTTGCCGACACCTTACTGTGAAAGTATCACAAGTAGTGAGTGTTATCCCCTCTAAGAGCTGACCTAGCTAGGCTATATATAACAAACATATCTAAAGTAACTAGATATGAGTATATAGCAACATATGTTTGTTGGCACACCCCCTAGCCTAGAAAGAGGCAGCATTTGACGAACCAGGGCAGCACTACTAGTCTGACCTATGGTGAAGGTAGCAAGACAACTCAAGGCAGCACTACTAGTCTGACCATTCAGACAGGAGGCCACAAGGCCAGTCAGCAAGTGTAATAAGACACGCAGGTATGGCACATCAAGTACAAGCACGTATAGTATATATCAGGATACAAGAAGTGGAGCTACTACTGAGACTAGACAAAGCTGGATATAGATTCGTTAATGGTCAAGAGGCGGTAGTGCCTTGGTGAAGATATCAGCGGTGTTGGCCTCTGAGGCCAACTGTACTACACAAGCCTGACCGCGCTGCTGCAAATCACGCAGCAGGAAGTACTGCAACTGGATGTGCTTCGCCCTGCCCTCAAGTCGAGCCTCCTGACACTGGAGGATCATGGCCCTGTTGTCAGCAAACAGGACGAGGGCAGAACTAGGCTGCTCACCTAAGACTGTAAGTAAGAACGTCAACCAGCAGAGCTCCTGAGCGGCCATGGCCCCAGCGTAGATCTCTGCCTCATAGCTGGACTGAGCTGCACACGACGACCTAGTGGACCTCCACGAGACTGCACCCGCACCAAGATTAAAACAGTAGCCCTGAGACGACATAAGCGTCTCCAATTTGTCAGCCCACGACGCGTCTGTATGTCCAATGAGCACCACTGGGTCCCGTCCTCCTAGCACTCGCCAGCTACCGCAGTACCCTCTTGGCAACCGACCAGTGGACTGGGCGGTGCCTGCCTGTCGCAACAATACGAGCCAGGAGACTGAGAGGGTACGCTAGATCTGGTCAAGTGCATGTCAGCAGGTACATGAGGCAACCCAGGCTTCCATCTCAACTACTGTGTGAACGCGAAGCGGAAAAGGGCCAAAAGTATCACCCTGCCGCGAGCCCTGCTCCAAGGACGACACCTCCACGAAAGGGCCTGCTCGAAGGTAGAAGTCGCTGGGAGCACCATAGAACACTCGTAGGAACGGAATCAACCCAGCAAAATGTGAGTGACGAAGGCCCTCAAACATCGCCGGCCGGAAGAAAGAGTTGAAGGCGTTGGTCACATCGATCTCTAGCGTGCACCATTCCTGATGGAGCTTTGAGGGCCAAGCGGAAAGCATGCGCAAGCACCTCTACGCCCGACCAAGACCCCACCCCCATCTGGTTAAACGATACGAAGTGAGACACAATCTGAGAACAAAACACAAACATACAATGCACGAGCAGGATATGCGGGAGCGCCTCGTCAATTGCCACAGGTTGAACGCCGCCTGGTCTTCGGACCCCTGTCTCAGAGGTTGGACAACTAGTGCCACCCTGGGCTGTGTGCTTCTTGCTCAACACTACCCCTTATCTGGCCTAGGGGGTGTGTCAATTTATACATACATTTTCATGGAGAAGTTATAGGCTAGAATAGGTGTATATTCTTAGAGAGTACAACCCAACCCTATATCTTGCTTGTTCTCTCTTGCTTCTAATTATTCTAGTATTCTAACAAGCCCTGCCCATGTGAAGGATCTACTAGGAAGGTTTGGTGAAATTTCTTGGGTTGATCCAAATGGAAGTAGTCTTATTTTGTAGATGGGCTAATCCTAGTGACGTAGCCTTTAGTGAGTAAGACCCTCATGTATAGGCATTATCTTATGAAACAGTAATTTGTTATCAGAGCAGATCGACCTCCTTTGTCTTATAATGAAATTCAAGACTTCCCTCCCAGCGCGTGGAACAAACACACAGTTCGTAAATCGACCATTCCACATCCATTTACACCTTTCCAGCATTTAACTGCAGCATACCAAACCGCACTCCACCTTGCCCGAAGTTCCTTCGAACTTGCCGGTTTCCTGACCATATGTTCCACGCCCTTCAGACACACAGAGCAGCTAGATTCGTGTGGACTCAGCCGTAGCTCCGTGGTATGACCAACGACCTGTAACTCCCTCTTACCGTTCTTCACCCACGGCTCCTCGATACCCTCATTTTGAAACGTCTCAAAATTTGACATTCGGTTCATCTTATCAGAGCGGATTCAGCAGCAGTCGTCGCCTCATGTTTGCTGCGAGCTGACAGTCACTTGCTTGGCTCCTCGTGTCAAGAAATCCCGTTCCAGCTCGCCAAGAAGCATCTGCTGCAGAATTTAATAGCAGAATCTACGAAGGCTGACGGTCAAGAAATCCCGTTCGAGCTCGACAAGAAGCATCTGCTGCCTTCACGTTGTAGGAGATTTGTGAGAATTCGCGATAATCACCTTCAACTTCTTGGCTCCTCGTTTCAAGAAATCCCGTTCTAGCTCGCCAAGAAGCATCTGCTACCTTCGTCGCGTTGACCCTGACTCGTGATTAACATTTCCGGCTTTAGCTACACTTGAGGTCATTAGTCGATTTGTGTAACCGTCCCTGATTCAGTTCGTTGAGCATTCGTCAGGCCATCAATCTGCAGCGGCATTTTCGTCGCGACAAGTGAACTGATCTGCGAGGTTTCGCGAATGTTACAAATTTCTGTAACCGTTTGAATAGCGAGCAGAATCGTCAAGAATTCAGCGGGATTCGATCCAATTCCAGCAAAGGCCACATGCTTGGCAGTCTTCTCTCGTTTTGAGACTTCTCAAGTCTCCATCTGACTCCAGCAGAGGATTTGATTTGGTTCCAGCAGAGGCCTCATGGCAGACTTTTCCTCCTCGCCGTCAGCCGCTGAGTCGACTAACCCTACCAACCAATCAGCCCACCAACCAATCCCGCGCGATCCTCCCCAACCAATCCCGAGGCTCCCAGGCCACGCGCAAGTGCTCGGCCGACCCAACCTACTCTCCTTCTCACCCAATCAACCTCCTCCCCTTCCTCCTCTCCCTCCTCACTCACACTCCAACCCTCCCGCTCACTCACACTACAATCCTCACTCGCACATGCATCTGCTGCACCCAATCCCCGAAGAAGACTCCACCTCGCTCTCTCAATCCGGCTCCAGCCCCGCTCGCTCGCACTCCCTCCCGTTGGATCCTGCTGCTGCTGAAAATGCTACATCGGCAGCAGCAGCAGCAGCAGCAGCAGGCGGCGGCAGCAGTAGCAGCAGCGGCAGCGGCAGCAGCAGCACTGATAGCAGCCGTCGTGTGACGTTTTCAGAGGGTGTTCAGCTGCCCGAGAGGGGCAGAAACAGCTGGAGAGGTGACAATGAACCGGCAAATGGGAGAGAGGCCAGAAGGGACATTGGAAGAGAGATTGGACGAGAGCAGCTAGGAGAGGGAGAACGGACAGTGGTAGGAGCAGAGCCGTTAATGGATGAACCAGTGGTAATGAGAGACGCAGGAAGTCTTATAACGAGTACAGGGGCGCTTGAGGAGGGGATGAGGCGGAGCGTAGGGGATGGGTCTGCATTGGACGGTCCAGATTACGGGTTTGGGATCTGTGCGGTGGATTTTGATGGAGGGTTGGGTGGGGGGATTGGTGGGGAGGTGGGGTTTGAGAGGGGAGGAGGAGGCGTGGAGCGCATGTGGGAGGGGCGCACCTGATTCTCTTTGGAGCCTAGTTATGGAACCAATGACTAGTGCATATATGGCTACTACACCTGATATATGGACTACACGTGTTTCAAGTACACTTCACAAACCCCTTCGAGCCTATTAGAACAAGCCCCCATAGATCTCGGGGGGTCGTCCTTGGTACTCCAGCATGACAACACGTGGAAAAAGCCAACCAATGGGATCTACAAAACTTTGTCGGCGTGTGCTGTGCTGGCCTCGGCACGCAGACCAGGGTCAAGTCACCTAGTTTCCGCACTGCTGCTGACTTAGCTGGATTTTAACACCTAGGGGCGTGTCACTAAAGTACGATCCGTGTTCAATACCGAGTTCAGTTACCACTTTTAGACGTGTAGCCATAAATCATGCCCGAACAAGACACGCCCAGCTCGCGCCCAAAATTAGCGGACACCAGCTCCCGTTTCCAGGTACCTCCGCACAACAAAAATAGACCACACAAAAATCCAGTTTGCCAACCAGTACCAGCACCACCTCTAGCGAAATTCTCTAACGACACTTTGCAGCCTCGCACGTCGCTAACGAAGAACCTACCCCCGCTGCGATGATTGGCCCTCATTTGTTACAGTCGTCGCGCGGGTTTCCCATGGCGGGACCCCGTTACCAGCTCCTATGTCTGTGCTGGTCTCGGTGCGGTCCTTTCGAACTGCACCCTACATTCCCGACCTGTTCCCAAATCGGGATCTATTTCAAAATCGATTCACATTGCGTACCGTCAAACGGCTCCGCGTGTCAAAAACGGGTACACGATTTTTGGGGACACGCCCTAATCTTCCCTCGGAATTTGAGCCTCACCTTCTGCTCCCTCGCCTGGCTGTCCGCCGCTCCACTTCCTTCCCTCCGCTCCATTACGCAAGCAGAGGAGTCCAACAACCATGACAAGCCTCCATCACCTGAGCTGTCTGATTTGAGTTTCTTCACCTTCACATCGCACGCCTCTGTTGCCAGGTTTCTCACTCTAGCCCCTCTTTTGACACTGCTTCCTTCTCGCAGCTTCTAGACCAATATCCGTAGCCCGCGGGTTCCATTCTGAAGCACGCGCTGTCCCTCCACACCTCCCGTGTACCCCTCACCCCTATCCGCGCGCCACGCGTTTCGCCGAGAGCCATGGAACTGCGGTGCTGCCTAGTTCTGGCGCTCCTTCCGCTTCTCGCTACGTCAGTCGCTGCCACCGACGTGTCAGCTGCCGAGGCTCAAGCGGGCGCGCTGACTGCGCAGGCAAGCGCCCTTCCAACATATCATCGCGGTCTAGTCCGCCAGCATTGCGTTCACTCTCTCCTTTCTCACTTGCTGAGTCGTCATTTGTCGAGCCCTTTGCGAAGCGCTGGTTAGTCGCGTTTCTCGGTTTTGTTCGTTTCGTTACAGTCGGCTTCGCTCGGCCGTCACGTCCTTGAATATCGCGTCTGTTTCACGAAGTGACAGAATCTCGAACGCCATTACGTGCAGCGTTGGCACTCTAGGGTACACCTGCATCCTCTATAACGCGTTTTTTTCCGTCAACCCCGTTCCACTGCCATCCCGCTGCTCCTCAGGTTTCCTGCGCGGACCTGCGCAGCGCGGTGCTCCTATGGGCATCGTATGTACCAGTGGTACCGATACACTATGGTGCATGATCTTATAGCGCATATTTTCCCACGTCCCCGCCTTGCTCAGCCCCAGCAGCCCGCAACCACTCCTCGTATCGCCAGCGTGGATCTGAGCCGGGTGGTGCTTCTCCCGCCATCACGTGTTGTATTCATACCGTAGTCTGCATTCCCTTATAACGCGTACATTCCACCAACCCCTTTCACCACCAGCCCGCTGCCACCCCTCGCATCGCGGGCGTGGATCTGAGGCGCGTGGTGCTTCTATCGCCGTGGGCGCCGCGCGCCTTCCTCTACAAGCAGTTCCTCACCGACGCCGAGTGCGACCACATCATCGCCCGAGCTGCTCCCAAGCTCGAACGGTATGCTTGGGTTGGATGGCGGAAAAGTGAGGTGGAAAAGTGAGGAGAAGACGAAGGGGAAATGTGAGGCGAGACAGGGTAGTCGCAATGAGCAAGCGAGCAGGCATGCGCCTGGGTAGACTAACGAGATCGCAGACGCAGCAGCGCCCGGAAAGCATCCGACGCTCTCAGGCGTGCATTGCCTGAATGCTCGGCGACGGACGGCGGCAGTGATGAGTGGACCTCGCTCCCAGTGCGGAGATGGGGGGCGGGAGTGCAAGCACGCTGACTGGGGCGCACAGTGAGGCGCCCCCCGCGCGCAATGGAGTGAGGCGTGCCGTGCTGTGAGTGAAGGAGAAGGACGGTTGGCAACCCGCCGTCTTCCCTCTTTCTCTCCCCGCCCATCAGCCACGGCGTGGTGAACCACCGCAAGGACCTTCCCTTCCCCTCCTTCCCTTCCCCCCCGCTCCCTTTAGGTCAGGCGGGGTGAGCAACAACCGACGGCAACAGCCTCGCGAGTGAGACGTTAGGAAGCCTTTATCACCTCGGGCGGGGATGAGGCAATCGAGCCAGTGGAGCCGCGGCATTCGCCGTGCTGCCCACCTTCCCCTTCCCCTCTCCCCCGACCCTCTCAGCTCGGGCGTCACTCTCCCTCCCCACCACCCCCCCCCCCCCCCGGCCTCTCAGGTCGGGCGTGGTGAACAACGACGACGGCAGCAGCTTCGTGAGCGACATCCGCACGAGCTCGGGCACGTTCATCGACAAGGGCGCCGACGCCGTCATGCAGCGCGTGGAGCAGCGCATCTCCGAGTGGACCTTCCTGCCGCTGCACAACCAGGAGTCGCTGCAGGTGAGCCCAATGGGTGTCGTTATAGGATATACATTAGCCCGGTGTGACTCGCTATAGGCTGTAACGAGGGGTAAAAGAACCATGAGTGGCCCTTTCTTCCCTCGCAGAACCATGCTCAGGGTGGCTCTATAGAGGCTATAAAAAGGGGTTGAAGAAAAGAACCAGGAGCCATCAGCAAGGGCGAGAACGAGGTGATGAAACGGGTGGAGCAGCGCTTTGCAGAGTGGACCTTTCTTCCCTTGCACAACCAAGAGGCGCTGCAGGTGAGTTCATTCTTCGGGTTACACCTGTTCTCCTATTTAGTCCCACAGTTTTTGCACGCGGCTGTAACCAGGAAACAGTCAAACCTGGGCAAACGAGACATTAAGGTGGAAAACCCACAGTACCCACTGTCACTTGGTTACATACTCTCGCTCATGCGCTAGAGAAATCGCCTGTTGCGACCTCCCAGCGCTGAAACTCGCAAGTTTTCAAAAATATATTTGACTCTCGCTTTTGTTCAGACTGCAGCCTATCAGGTTCAGGGTCAACGCGAGTCATGCTGAGAACCTGGTAGGTGGAATTGGAATTTGTACTGTTCCGCTTGGGACAATAACAGGGAAAAGGTGTACAAGAGCCATGAGCTATGAGCAAGCGCGAGGACGAGGCGATGAAGTGGGTGGAGCAGCGCATCGCCAAGTGGAACCTTCCTGCCGCTGCAGCGCATGACTCTCCTTCTCCATCGTTCCACTCTCTCTTCTCCTTCTTGCCCTCTTCTCTACGCCGCACCACCCTCCTCCATCTGGCTTCCCCCCACCTCCCCCCCCCTGCTCTCGTCAGGTCCTGCGGTACACGCAGGGCCACAAGTATGAGCCGAACCCCTCCATACCTCCCTCTCTCCCGTCGCTCCAACCCCTCTCTCCAGGTGCTGCGGTGCACGCACGGACAGAAGTCCGAGCCCCATGTGGACTATTCCCAAGGCCCTCTGCCTATTGCGTCTTTCCTCCCCTTCCCCCGGCCCCCCGTTTCCCAGGTGCTGCGGTACACGCACGGGCAGAAGTACGAGCCCCACGTCGACTACTTCCACGATCCTCTCAACACGCAGCGCGGCGGGCACCGCTACGCCACGGTGCTCATGTACCTCAATAACGTGACGCTGGGGGGGGAGACGGTGTTCCCCAAGGTCAAGGACGACACCCCCAAGGATGACACTTGGTCCGACTGCGCCAAGGGCTTCCTGGCAGGTGGGATGCTGAAGCTACTGCTGGGTGGGACTGGTGAGGGTGATGGCGGTGAGAGCGCCAACGCTACGCCGCGGTGCTCATGGACCTCAGCAATGAGGAGCGAAACTGTGTTTCCGAGAGTCACGCACCAAACGCCCAAGGATGAGGCTTGGTCCGACTGTGCCAAGGGCTTTCTAGCAGGTGCGAGTGCCACTGCCTCGCCAGAGTGGCGCCGCCACGCCACGGTGCTCGTGTACGTCAACAACGCGCTGCCCAGACAACATGCCGACAGGTGAGACTTGGCGTGACTTCGCCAAAGTCTTCCCGGCAGGTGAGGTGGTGCGGATTCAAAGGTTCAGTTCAGAGTGGTGTGATGGAGTTGATGGGTTACAAGTGCCACAACTACGCGACTGTGCTCGTGTACCTACCTCAACAACGTCATGGGGCGAAGGGGGGGGCTGTGTTTCCCAAGGTCAAGGGCGACTCGCCCAAGGATGATTCTTGGTCCGACTGCACCAAGGGCTACACGCGCACGCCACTGCCCTCATGCTCCTCAATAATGTCACTCTGGGGGGCGGCACGCTGTTCTCCACACGGCACGCCCTCCTGTTCTCCAGCATGCACCCGGATGGTAACCCTGTCCCCGCCTCGCTGCACTATGCATAGCCGGTGGTGGAGGGAGTCAAGAGGTCCGAATTTCCCCCCTCCCCTTATCCCCTTCGCTTACCCCTCCTTTCCCCCTCGTTTCCCCCTCGTTTCCCCCTCGTTTCCCCCTCGTTTCCCCCTCGTTTCCGCCTCGTTTCCCCCTCGTTTCCCCTTCCTTTCCCCCTCGTTTCCCCCTCCTTTCCCCTTCCTTTCCCCCTCCTTTCCCCCTCGTTTCCCCCTCCTTTCCCCCTCGTTTCCCCCTCCTTTCCCCCTCGTTTCCCCCTCGTTTCCCCCTCCTTTCCCCCTCCTTTCCCCCTCCTTTCCGCCTCGTTTCCCCTTCCTTTCCCCCTCGTTTCCCCCTCGTTTCCGCCTCTTCGCCATGCACCAGTGAAGCCAGAGAAGGGCGACGCCCTCCTGTTCTTCAACCTGCATCCCGACGGCACCCCTGATCCCACCAGTCTGCACTACGCATGCCCCGTGGTGGAGGGAGTCAAGTGGTCTGCGCCCAAGTGGATCCACGTGGCAGACTTTGATAAGCCAGTGGGAACTGCCGATGCTGGTGATGCTGCTGACGGTTCTGCTGGTGGTGATGGTGCTTGCACGGACAGCAATGCATAGTGAGTGGTGGGGAAGGGTATGAGTGGTGGGGGAGGGTATGAGTGGTGGGGAAGGGTATGAGTGGTGGGGGAGGGTATGAGTGGTGGGAATGCCCAGGGCTGGCAGGAATCGTGTGGTGCACTTATACTTGGATTCACATGGCTCACCATGGTAAGCCGTTGGAGAGTGCTGCTGATGGTGATGGGGGTGCTGCTGATGGTGATGGGGGTGCTGCTGATGGTGATGGGGGTGCTGCTGATGGTGATGGGGGTGCTGCTGATGGTGATGGGGTTGCTGCTGATGGTGATGGGGGTGCTGCTGATGGTGATGGGGGTGCTGCTGATGGTGATGGGGGTGCTGCTGATGGTGATGGGGGTGCTGCTGATGCTGCTTGCATGGGCAGCAATGCACAGGTAATGGTTGTGTTGCGATCAGTGGATGGGTTGCTGCCGTATCAAGGCACGTCTCACCATCACTCTCCACCTACCCCTTCCCCCACCCTCCCCTCCCCTCCCCTCCCCTCCCCTCCCCTCCCCTCCCCTCCCCTTGCATGGCATGTATGTGCATGTGCGTGTGCTCATGGCAGCTGCCAGTACTGGGCGGAGGCGGGCGAGTGTGAGAAGAACCCCGTGTACATGCGCGACGCATGCCGCAAGGCCTGCAACATCTGCTCCTAGCCTTTTCCCTCTCTTGGCGCGTATTCCTAAGAGCTCCTTTGATGAGAACCACCTGGTCTATGTGGCCATGGGAGATGCATGATGCTTGATGCATCTCACCGCAACTGCGAGGCCTGCTTCTCAAGGGACCCGGTCCGTGCTTTTCTTTACTGGTGGTGATAGCAGACGCGTTACAGCTTGCTCCCGTGAAGAGTTTTTTCGCTTTTACTCTCATGGGTTGCTCTGGTTTGGTTTGGTGACTGCACTTTGCAGGAGTTGTACAGTTACTAGTATGGAAAGGGTGGGTCATTGGCTTCGATAGAAGCAGGAACTGAGTTTGGAACAAAGCTGGGAAGGAGTTCATTCGCTGTCCTTGCAGGCAGAGCAGAGAAGACGGCTCCCTCCCTCACTCATTCAACCATTACGTATTCCACCCAAGCGGGCACACCAGGGAAGCTGACTACCATCCAAGTGCCAACACAAACACACTTCCGTGACTGCTGCTAGTGAATGGCAGCTTCAAGTGCGATTTCCAGCCATGAGCCGGTCACTCTATCACAGGCACAAAGACAAGTCAGTGACTTTTGGGCCGCCGTCCATCACAGGCACAGCCACCAAGCGGCACAAGTCGCCAGCAGCCGTGCCCTGAGCGCCATGTCAGCAGCGCCCCAGCCCCTCTCCGCCCTTCTCTCCCTCTGCCTCTGGTTCTTCGCCCTCTTGCGCACCACACCAGCCTCTCGACCCTCGCTGCTACCAACAGATCAGGTCTACAGTACCGGTACTCCTCGGCAGATCCCCCCTCTCCCACCCTCGTCATCTGTGCAATGCAGTGCCTGCTGAACACCCTTATACTTGCACAAGCTTCGCTGCCTCACAAGCGCAAAGAACGGGTAGCAGATGAAGCCAGAACTCTCGCTCACGATGCCACATCAGCTGCCGCCCGGTCCCTCTCCGCCCGTCTCTCCCTCTGCCGCTGGTTCTTGGCTCTCTTGGACGCCAGCCGCTCGTCCCGTGCCAGAAACGCCAGCATGCACAGCTCTGCTATGGCAAATCCGGTCCAGAATCGCGCTCATGCGTGCTCGCAAGCGGCCGCTCCAGGAGCGCCCTTCAATCACGCCCTCACAGCCGTAGCGACCGCGAGGCAGAAGTCGCCAGCAGCCGTGCCCTGAGAGCCACGTCAGCTGCCGCCCGGTCCCTCTCCGCCCTCCTGGTTCTCTGGCGCTGGTTCTTAGCCCTCTTGGGCGCCAGGCGCTCGTCCCGCGCCACAAACGCCAGCCTGAAGCGCTCCGCCATCGACAACTCCGGCAACTCCCGTTCACACGTTGCCTTTGCTCCCGCCCCCCCTTTCACCAACCCTCTCCTCTGCCCTGCCTCCTCTCCTCCCGGCCCCTCCTCCCCACGCCCCCTCTCCTCCTCATCGTCGTCCTCCTCGTCCTCTCCCTCCCCCCTGCCAGCACCCCCCTCCCAGACAGCAGGGAATATCCCCTCCAGGTGGGGCGAGTCGAGGGGGAGAGAGGGGAAGGCTTGCAGGGGGGTGCGCGAGAGGAGGGGGGAGGGGAGGGTGGGGATGTGGGAGTGGGAGGGAGGAGGGGAGGGTGGGGCTGGGTTGAGCAGGATGCGCGGGCACCGGGAGGCGAGCAGCGACGCTGACTTGGGGTCTGCTTCGGGCTGAGAAAGGGGGGAGGGGTGAGATAGGCAGGGATGCAAAGGCGAAGGTGGATTAAAGGGTAACGAACGATGCGTGGGCACTTGGAGGCGAGCAGGGCTGCTAACTTGGGGTCTGCTTCGGGCTGCGAAGGGGGTGGAGGAAGAAGGGGGCTAGAGAGAAATAGACCGGCCGATGGGGATGCAGAGGCGGAGCAGTGCTGTTGACTTGGGGTCGGCTTGAGGCTGTGAGGGTAGTGGGAAGGAAGGAGAGCGAGAGACAAGAACGGGAGGACAGGAGGGACACTGCAGTTCAATCACTTTCAGCGGGGAGATGCAATGAGCAGATCCGTGGACTGGTGGTGAGACACGGACTCTGCAAGTCAAAGAGCCCTTTGAGAGACCTGCAAGAGGAAGCACCCACGGATGTGTGATGACAATGGGCACAAGAAAACACCAAATACAGCCCCGCACACACTCTTGCACCACTCACCCACACCAGCCATCTCAACGAAGGCACTCTCTCCTCCAATCGCTCCTCCACATCCTCCCAGCTCCCCTCAAACCCCTCTTCCTCTCCTCCCTCCTCTCCCTGTCGACTCCCCCCCCTCTCCTCCTCCCTCTCCTCCCCTACTGCCTCCCGCCCTGTTTCAGATGTTGCTGCACCTTCTGTACCCCTTACTGGCTGCTGCGGTAGCATCCACTTGACTGCTTCTCGGGCCACTCTGTCGGAGGCAGGTGAACCGCTGGAAGCAGAGAGGGACGGCAGGGGGCAGGGGGCAGAGGGCAGGGGGCAGGGGGCAGAGGGCAGGGGGCAGGGGGCAGAGGGCAGGGGGCAGGGGGCAGAGGGCAGGGGGCCGGAAGGGCAGGGGGGCAGGATGGCAGGATGGCAGGCAAGGAGGAGTGAGGATCGCGATGGACGTGGACGGACGGACGGACGGACGGACGGACGGATGGCACCTACTGATGGAAGCCACAAAGACTCACCCCAGGCGAAGCACTTGCAGGGAGGGGCAGGCCTTGAACATGTGGGTGAGGGCGGCAAGGGAAACTGCATCGCACGACCTGCCGCACGTGGGCCGGACGCCGAGTGGAGGGACGGGGGCAGAGGGTGAGGAGGGGGGTGGGGGGACCATCCACAGCCCATAAAAATGTGCGGCCCGGTAATGAGAAGAGGAACCTTTGTGCATGCTTCCTCCCTCCCCTTCACCCTCCACCCTGAGACAAACCCCTACAGCGAAGCCCTCAACTAAAATGCACCTGGAAAATCACCTGATGTCTAGAGCCACCAGCTCGGGGCAAGTCCGTGCCACGTGGCACAGACCTTCGTCTGACACGTCAGCCCCACACAGGTCCACAATGTGCCACGTGTCATCCACTAGCGCCTCCAGCAGCCAATCAGAGAGCAGTCCTCGACGACGCGCGACAGCTGTCAGTGCCAGCTGGATTGACACGTGGACCAATGGGAGAAGAGCAAAATGGAGTGCAAATGGATTGGGGAGGGAGGTAGGAAGTGTGAGGGGAATGAAGGATTCAACGCGACACAAGCAGGAAAAGAGACTTGTGAGCCGACTCAAAAAGATGCCGCGCAAACAGCAGCCATTGCCTCACCGTGCCCTGAGAGGGCAGCACAGCCACGACTCCCCTGCCTCGCTCTCCTCTTCTCGCTTCCCTCGCTCCCCTCGCTCCCCTTGCTCCCCTCGCTCCCCTCGCTCCCCTCGCTCCCCTCGCTCCCCTCGCTCCCCTCGCTCCCCTCGCTCCCCTCGCTCCCCTCGCTCCCCTCGCTCCCCTCGCTCCCCTCGCTCCCTCCCCTCGCTCCCCTCGCTCCCCTCGCTCTCCTCGCTCCCCTCGCTCTCCTCGCTCTCCTCGCTCTCCTCGCTCCCCTGGCTCCCGGTGCGATAAACCCTTCACCCAAAGCCACAAAGCCCTTCACCCAAAGCCACAAAGGCCTGAACCGCCAGCGCGCCTGCTTACCCTGGCATGCGAGGGCAGCAGCGCGACGAATTGGCGCAAGTCAAACTCCTGTGGGTCCATGCTGAGCAGGTGCGGCAGGTAGCGCCCCACCTCCGCCACACACAGGTGCAGTAAGGAGGGGACGGTGGGGACTGCTGGGAGGGGGGAAAGGGGGAGGGCGGCAGAAAGAGAGTTGCTTTCTCTGCTGAGCAGGTGCGGCAGGTAGCGACCCACGTCCGCCACACACCGGTGCAGCAACGAGGGGACGGCGGGCCCTGGTGGGAGAGGGGAGAGACGGAGGGAGGGAGGGCGGGAAAAAGGGAGAGTTGCTTTCTCTCTCTCACCCCTCCTCGTCTCATCCTCATTCTCACATCTCTCCTCGTCTCACCCCCATTCCTCTCACCCCTTCTCCACCCGCTGCTCCTCCTATCACTCTCCCTCTCACGCGCAACCTCTCCTCCCTCCTCCAGCGACCACCGCACCTCCCTCTCCCCGTCTCTCCCTCTCCCCTTCCCCTCGCCCCGCGTCTCATCCCGCGCTCACCGTCTCGCCCTCTCTTTCCCGTCGCGAAGGTCAGTCCCGCTCGCCCCGTCGCCATCTCTTCCCCCCTCGCCTCGCCGACCCCCTCGCCTGTGCGATGCTCGACCGTTCCGCCGAACCCACACTGACTGCGCGGGCCCGCGTCCGGCCAACTCCTCAGCGAATTATCGATAGCAATCGCGCGGCCTGCTAAATCAGCAGCCTCACGACCTAAATAGTCCGGGGCGGCAGCGCCAAAATCAACGGCGGCTCGCAACGCAGCCGCTTCCTCCGCTAACGACGGCAGACGCGGTGCCGCTCCTGTGGCAACCGCGGTGGCAGCGGCGGGAGGTGCCCCGGTGGCAGGGGCGGCTGTGGCGGGGGGGGCGGAGTCTTGGCAGAAGGCGCAGGTGCAGTCGTGGGTGCCGCGGCAGCGATGGCTGGCGACGAACGTGGGGAACGGACGCCGCGATGCCATTTTATCTCACTCCTAGACCGGAATTCACAGTTGCACGGGGAATGGCTGTTTGCCACGGTACGGAGTTGCAGTGCTGGCAGATGGCATTTAGCAGCAGGGAGCAATGCGTGTTGATGAAGGAAGGTGGATGAGCGGGGAGGCAACCACTGACGCAAGTAATGAGGACATGCATGCATGCCCAAGCTAAACCACTCACTAGTAGTGTACTTCGGGGTTTAGGTGAAGGCCCGGTTGTGTACATATCGGTCAGCGCTCAAGGGCGCGTACAAGCAAGGTGCAAGATTGGTACTCGATTTGATTCTCGACGTCTTCGAAATTGTGTGCTACTATTATTATGATCACTTGGTTTACAAGTGTACCTTCACTATTATTGAACAAAGTTAGTACCACTAAACTCCATACTGTAATATACTATTTTCCCCCGTCCTCTCCCACTTCTGCATCAGCAGCTCACGTGCAAATACAAACCCGCAGACACAAACAAATGCCCCTCGTCAAAATCAAATGAAACGCGCAGAATATGATACAACAAACCCCTTGTAAAACAACCAAGGATGAAGCCACCAAGCCGCCGCAAGCCCTCCGCTCACTAGATGTTAGTTGAAGCCCCTTGACAAACATACATGCTTAATGGTGGGCCCTCACCCCTCCTGTGACTCCAGTCCCCCGCGGGCCCCCCTTAGAACATATTAATGGTGGGCTCCAGGCTCTGAGACGACCCCACGAGCTGCGAGGCGCCGAACACACTGAGCTCGTAGTAATTAGAGTAGTCGCTGCCCGACGTGCCGTACTCCAGCATGCACGCCATCGCCTCCATATATGGCATCTCGGCGCGCCCGGAGTCGTCACCTGTACCTTCCCCAGCACCCCCAGCACCTGTTCCTGTGTCTGGGCCTGCAACTGAGTCTGCTCCACTTGTCTTAGATCCGCCCTTTTGGTTGCTGCTGTCGCCGCTGCCTTTCCCTCCCTTGCCGCCCTTTCCGCCCTTCTTCCCGCCCTTCTTGGCCAGATTCTTCAGAGAGTCGGCTGCAACACCCACTTTGTCCTTCAGTTGACTCGATAGAGTTGTGCCACTTGTTTGCTTTGACTGGACTGCTGCTGCAGAGCCACTTAATGAGGCAGTGTTTAAAGAGGATGCTGAAGCCACTTTCGTCTGTGGCTGGTTCTGGCTCCCACCTTTCCCTCCCTTACCAGCCGACCCTCCCTTCTTCCCTCCGCCCTTCAACCCTCCAAGCTTTTTCCCAATAGCAGCAAAGGCTCCTCCTAACGCGCCTCCCCCACCTCCACCATTATTCTTCCCCCTCCCATTTCCAAAGTCAATACCAATAACACCTGGCAGGAACTTAACATTACCCCCCTTCTTCTCACCCCCACCACCACCACTGCCGCCACCACCACCGGCACCAGCATCAGCACTGGGCTCGTAGCCAGGGGGGTACTGCAACCCTGCAGCGACGTCCACAGTGAGGTAGCCTATGCACGTGAAGAGGCCCATTCGAGGGGACGCCCAGCGGCCGCGGGCGCAGTTGAGGGGCAGGGGCGGCATGGCGTGCGAGTCGTTGTAGATGCGCAGCAGCGGGGCCAGAGGGGCCTCCTCTGGGTCCACAATTGCCACCACGAAGGACAGGTTGTACTGGTTGTTTCTGATAGGGGTGGGCGGGGCACGAGAAAGAGTGGGGCAGCAAAGGATGGGTGCGATTGAAAGGCTGCGGGCGCACTTGAGCAGGAGGGGCGGCATTGCTTGCGCGTCCTTGTCGATGCGCAGGAGAGGGGCCAGGGGTGCTTCGTGTGAGTCCACTATGGCCACCACGTACAAGAGGCTGTACGGAACTGACACTGTGTGAGGACACTGTGAGGGGCACGTGGTAAGGAGGAGTGGTAGCTTCAATAAGGGTGGCATTAAGGGGGGAGATTATGGCACAGGGTGAGGCTGCAAGATTGGACTCTTGAGATTACGGAGACCGCTCAGGAAATCGCTATTCTTTCACAGTCAAGTTGCTTCCTTCCCACCAGACATTTACCAAACTGCATATCCGCACGATCTGGCCAGTCAAGACAGTAAAATGCAAATTGCGTGTGCTTGGTTGCCCAATTGTTTCTGGAAACACGTGACACGAAGTGGCTTGACACAAGGTTTGCGACAGCACAAGCTCCTGGAAGACACTTACTCAAAGGCCACGTTCACATAAGCGCCGCCAGTCATGGCATCAACCAACGCCGCGCCAAAGAGAGGATTCTCCAGGGGGACGCCTAGACGGCCGGGGTTGCCTGAGAGGAAAGGAGAAAGGGGGGAGAGAAAGGAAGTATTGATATAAGAGGTCGCTCAAGCCAATCAAGGCAAGAATTGGACCTAGACGGCTGGGGGTTCCTGAGGGGAAGAGGGGGGAAGGGGTGGGAAAGAGGGAGGCGAGATAGGTCCAATAAGGGGACGCGTCAAGGCAAAGAGAGGATTCTTCCGGGGGGTTCTGAGACGGCTGGGGTTGCCGGAGAGAATGGAGGAGATAGTTACGGGCAGAGGGGGGGGGAGGGAGTAAAGGAGTCGAGAAGAAGAGCAGTGGGAGTGGAGAGGAGGGCAGAGGAGGGGGGAGGGTGAAGACACAACGTGGCAGTGCGAAAAGGTAGCAGCAGCAGTGAGCATTCCAACATAATGAACCCAGAGCCTTGCCAAACCAGCGCTGACCCACCAAACAACCCCATCGCCCCCCATACCACCCCATTACCCCCCAAGCCATCCCATCGCCCTCCAAGCCATCCCCCACCAAGCCATCGCCCTCCAAGCCATCCCATCGCCCTCCAAGCCATCCCATCGCCCTCCAAGCCATCCCCCACTCACTGAATCTCTTGGCGTTGCCGCGCTCCAAGCTCGCAGTGGCCACCGCCGGCTTCTCATCCGAGAAGCCCGAGGGAGCGAGGGTCTCCACCGTGTACTCGCCCACCAACTGCGGCCTGCCAGGTGGCGCCAGCTCCTTGGCCATTGTGTCCGTGCCGTCCTCCCAGAGGACCGTCCCGTAGGTCTCCCAGACTGTTGGCACCACTTTCAACCACTCTGTACCTGGTGGGGGGTGAATTGGGGCCAGGGAGGGGCATGGGAGGGGCATGGAGTTAAGAAGGAGCACTGGTGTGTGTCATGCTCCCAGAGGACCGACCCGTAGGTTTTCCACACTGTCGGCACCACTTTCAACCACTCTGCACCTGGTGGGGTTGAGGAAGGGATGGGAGAGTAGGTGGGTCGCAGGCAGGGAAGGGCAACGGGGGGGAGGGAGGGGGGGGGGGGCGCTAATTGGTGAAGGGTTCGAAGCAAGGGGTATGTGAGGGGTTTGGGAAGAGGAGGGAAGAAAGGAGGGAGGTGGTTGGGGGTAGCATGGCGTCGATCATGCAGGGGCAAGGCGAGAGCTACTCAGTGCAAAGGCGAGCAGCGCTATGTCAGTGCGCTCCGCCGCTGCTGGCACTGCAACTGTCAGTGTGCATACCGCCACTTCTGCTGGCTAATCAGTGTGCATACCGCTGCTGCCGGCCAGCACTTGGCCCTCCTGAGCCGGTCGGTCCGTGGCGTCGGTGGGTGGCAGCAGCGAGGGGTTGCGGTAGAGAGAAACGTTATAAGGGGGGCTGGCGCTGCCGCCCACCGTCAGCTGAAACTGAACGCTGCGATCGGGACAATGGAGAAGCGGGCAGGTGGAGGAGGGAAGGAAGGAAGGAGGGAGAGGGGACGATAGGCGGAGAGGAAAGGGGGGCGAGGGAGGGGAGGGAGAGGGACAACAGAAAGGGGGGGAGGGAGAGGGAGCGGTTAGCAGGGGCGGGGCGTACCTCCGTTGCCTGCCAGCGTCTGCGCCTCCACGGCTTTGTCGCCCTTGGCGGCCGCAGCAGCAGGCAGCATGGAGGGGTTGCGGTATAGCGTGGCGTTGAAGGGGGGTTCCCTTGAGCCGCCCACCGTCAGCTGAAACTGGATGCTGGTAGGAAGGGTGGACGGGAAGGGGAGAGAAAGAGGCAGCAGCGGCGGGCAGCATGGACGGGTTGCGGTATAGCGTGGCGTTGAAGGGGGGGTCGCGAGAGCCGCCCACTGTGAGTTGAAACTGAATGCTGATTGGCGGGGAGTGAGGGACGAGCAGGTTGGTGAATGGGGGAAGGCGGGGGTGGGGAAGAGGGGGGGAGGGAGGGGAGGGAGTGGTGGGGGTTGGTGGGGGGAAGAGTAGGGAGCTGGTGAACTGGCTGGGGAGGTGGGAGGCGGACGAGGGACAGGTGAGGGCAAGAAGACTGGACAGAGGGGAGTGAAGGGAGAGACAAACGGTGTGGGCGTACCTCTCCGCTATAGCGAGTGCCGTTATGCTCTTAGTTGTGGTCCCGCGAGCGATGGCGGAATAGTAGGCTGGCGGGGGACAGGGGGGAGAAGGGGAGGAGAAGGGGAGGAGAAGGGGCGGAGGGAGTTGGGCAATGGAGCGCTGTGTGCACATTAGCAACATTCAGGTTGGTGCGAGGCCATGCACTAGCAACGCGGCGGCACGAAAGAGTGGTGTAACTGTGTAACCAGACTACTCCCTGCTGGTTACCGCCGGCTCGTTCGCATCTCCTCCTCACTTGCCGCCCCTTATCCTCACGTTCTTGTCCCCGTGCGCTCGACGTATTTTGTCCTGTCGCCCTATCCCCGTCGCCCATTCTGTCGCCCATTCTGTCGCCCACTATCGCTTGTAATCGCTCGCCGTCGCTAACCCACGTAGGCGCTGCGCTCCCGCTTCTTCCTGTGCATATGTTGCCAGCTAGCCTATGATGTTATACGGTTTCCGCTGTCGCCCACTGTCGCCCACTGTCGTCCACCGTCGTTCACAACGGGTCGCCGTGTCGCTCACCTATGGTCGCGACGCCTTCTCTCTTATTCTTGCCCTTGGGCTTGCCGAGCGCCGCGGGCGAATGCGCGAGCGCGAGCGCCGCTGAAGGGCACGCGGGAGGCGGAGAGATGCGGGGGAGGGGGGAAGGGAGGGAGGGGGGGGAATAGAGGAGGGGGAAGAGGAGGTGGAGCGATGAGAAGCGAGGAAAGGAGGAACGGCGAGGGGTGCTCGTTGGGGCCTGCACGCGGGAAGGCCGACGGTGATGAGAGCTCGACCAAGGCGTCGTCGAGAGAAGACGATAGGGTGTGTGAATGGCGATAGGGTGTGTGAATGGCGACAGGTTGTGTGAATGGCGATAGGGTGTGTGAATGGCGATAGGGTGTGTGAATGGCGATAGGGTGTGTGAATGGCGGAAGACCACTGAACACGTTCTGAGACGACTCGAAAATATTTCACGAGTGTCACATTGAACACGTTCTGAGACGACTCGAAAATATTTCACGAGTGTCACATTGAACACGTTCTGAGACGACTCGAAAATATTTCACGAGTGTCACATTGAACACGTTCTGAGACGACTCGAAAATATTTCACGAGTGTCACATTGAACACGTTCTGAGACGACTCGAAAATATTTCACGAGTGTCACATTGAACACGTTCTGAGACGACTCGAAAATATTTCACGAGTGTCACATTGAACACGTTCTGAGACGACTCGAAAATATTTCACGAGTGTCACATTGAACACGTTCTGAGACGACGCGAAAATATTTCACGAGTGTCACATTGAACACGTTCCCTGGAGAACTCTCTGCGAGGCAAGCGCGGCGAAAGGTGCGGCGGCGCATAGGTGCACTAGAGTAGTGGATACGGGTAGCACTAACGGAGATAGGGCTTCAAACGCGTACAGAGAATGAGCGCGAGGCAGCATCGTCGTAGCAGCGCTCGGCCGGAACACTGCCGCGAAGGAACCATGGCTCGTAAAAGTATTTCAACGGCCACGAGTACTACTTTCGAGGCGCCTAAAAAAATGCTATTGATAGTTTGCGGTACTATGAAAGGGCGAAAGGTCTAGCTGATACTATGTTAGGGAAAAGCACTACTATTTGGTCCTATGAAAATATGCGAAGGGGGGAACTGCTATCAGATACTCTGCTGACTGATAGGCGAAACACCGGCATTCGCGCTATGATAACGAAAGCACACTGAGTTGCACGAAACAGAAACTGGTGGGATGCACGAGTCGACATCAGCAGTGGGTGCACTCCATGGCTGGTCAAACAGTTGTGTGCGCCGAGAATTCGAGTGGATCAGTGCTCAAGTGAGGGAGAGGAGGCGCACTGGAAAGTCACTTTTTCTCCAACACAACCCGCAGTGCCCGCCTTCCCCGCCCAGTGCCCCCCGACCCGGCTCGCAGTCGTGCTTTGGGAATAGGCTGAGCAAAGGCCCTCCCCCCCGTTCGACGCAGAACGGCAGGTCTGGACTCCGCTCGGCAAGTCGAGGGAGCGAGCACAGGGGGGCGGAAGTGGGCAGCAGGGGGGAGTCGTGTTGTGTGTTGGGCCCTGCTTGTCTTCTGACGTGGCAGGTAGGCAGTTCTGTCTGGCTCATGATACAGTACAGTACACTGGCAGGAGAAACTGCAGCTGCTTTGTTCCAGGAAAATCTCTACAGTGTACAGTACAACACATGCGATGCGATAGGTGAAACTGACATCTGCAAGTAACGACAGACGCGTGTTTCAGGTCGGACATGCGCTTCGAAAAAACAAGCGTGCTGCTGGATTCAGCAAGATAATCCTCGTTTCTGCACCTCATTCCATTTTATACAAAAGTGTTTATGTATGTCCCCTACATTTCTTATTTAACACCAACATAATTGCCCCTAGGGTAGCATGATTGCAGTATTGTATATGGGCTGGACCCTCACCGCATTATCTACAACCTGTATGCATAGGGAGGCCGAGCTGGCCTACGAATGATTTTCTACCACACTGATGCATCAATGTACCGGTACCATAAGGCTTTTGGGCATTGCCGTTACTCGTTTTCAGGCTGATTGTAGCGACCTCACATCAGCTTTTTTTTTAGAACCCAACTCGGATGGGTACAGAAAGAGAATGCTGTTGTGATAAATGAAGTTTTGCATTCCTGCGAGTTCCGTTTGCAGTGTAGTTAGCAGTATCGATATTTCTCGGTAAGGAAACAAGTCCGAGTGCTGACGTCAGCAAAGCATCCCGGTTCTCGTGATGACGTCACATACCGCTTCAGTTACGCGAATAGGCGTAACGAGTCGTTTCAGTCACGCGAACAGTCGCGACCCTATAGAATGACGAATAGGTCGCACTGCGCGATAGCGACGAACAGATACATTAGCGAACAGGTACTTTCCCTAGAGCTATAAATCCTTGTAATGCCTTTCTATTATTAACCTTGACTTTCCACAGAATTATGTGCTCAGGTTATTCAACCTTCGACTACCCACAAGTTCATGTGCTCAGGTTCACTCTGATAAGACTTCCGCTGTCTTACTAGTCTACCATTCCAGCAAAGATCCTGGACCAACACTTGAGGGATTGCCAAGTGTTCGCATTTATAGTTTTATACTTAGTCTTCTACAACATCAGGGAGATTTATTTCATGGTGTGAGAGCTATCTGGAATTAAGACTACTGTCAACTATGACTGGTTCATCACCAGCACCATCTGCCGGATCAGTTACTGGGACTACTGGAGCACATGCCTCCACTACGGCCGCTGGTCTCTCAGCCTCTGGGCACTTTCCACCAGCCTACGCCAATATCGGTATGCAACATCAGAATCCGCCTTCTGTGAATACTCCAGGTGCTCCATCGACTGCACCTGCAACGCAACAGCAACAATCACAGACGCCAACACAGCAGCAAGCGTCACTACAGCCACCAGTTTCAACGCAATCAATTTCATCTGCGTTCAGTGGGATGAGCCTTGACGGCTCAAGTTACATGCGTGGAGCTACAGCTCCAAATACTGGTTCGTTTGCCTTCTCACCTTTCGTACAGCAGCCGCAGTCGCGGCAGTTTCAGCATCCTTTTTATGTCTTCGGTCGTCCTCCTGCTCAGCAACAACAACAGCACTATCAGCAGCCACAGCAATTACAACAGCAACAGCAACAACAACAACAGCAACAGCAAGAACAGCAACAGCCGGGTATTATTTTTCAGCCGCCAAATTTACTGAACAATACACAAATCAAGACCACTATACCTTTTAACGGAGTGGATTTTTACTCCTGGAGTTTCGAGTTTGAGCTTCCGGCGCAGTCCGCTGGGCTTTGGCCGTTCTTCACCGGCGAATTTACGTATCCTATTACGGGAACAAAACAGGAACAGCAGAGTTTCTTGCACGCCTCTCTCGGGGCGTATACAGTTCTTGTACGGAACTAGTCGCTGAAGGAGCAGCTCGGCGTTCGATCATTTCACTCAAGTTTTACACCAGCCGAAACTGCATGGAACCATCTGAAAGGGGTTTACATGGCAAAAGATACAATAACAGTGAGTAAGATTCTTTCCCAGTTAACAAGTGTGCAGATGATGACAAATGAAAACGTCATGGACTACGTCAACCGCGTCCGTACACTACGCGATCAACTGGAGAAAAATGGGGGATACTTCTCTCGTGTGATGTATCTCACGGTCCTTCTGGCTGGTCTTGGACCCGAATGGCGACAGACGCGCGCCTTCCTTCGCATGAATCAGAACCTCTCCGAAGCTGAAATTTCTTCATATCTTCAAGCGGAACAACAAGATCTTGACCTGCAGTCACAACGCAACAAAAGGGGGGATATTCAATTCAGTTTCTATTCAACACCAACTCGACATCCTCGATTCTTCTGTCAGATTTGCAACAAGGGAGGACATTCTACCGACCGATGCTACTTTAAGAAGAGGTATCTACCTCCTGAAGAACCGCAGCAGTGGAAATCATCACAGCCGCTACGTTAGCCTTCGAAGCAGTCTTTTCAGCAACATGCACCTTCAAGAGCAATACCTGCAACATCGACAAAACCGTCATCACTCAGCTGTGTTCCTCCAAGCAACTTATCCAAGTCGGCAACAAATAATTCAAACTCTGCCAACAATACGGTAACCTCAAAAATTTGCTTACGGACTGCAAACACTGACATGGCTGGTTGCAGTACAGATACCGATACTTGGTACTTGGATAGTTGTTGTGGCCATCACATGGTCTCTTCAACAAATCCTTTCATCTACAACCGTCGACGACTTCTTCAACCCTGCCCAATCACACTCGCCAACGGTCAAACAATTGCAGCAGAAAACATCGGCAGTCTACTTTTGACATCAATCGACACGGGAAATTCCTTACGACTTACCAATGTTTTACTCATCGACAATCTTGGCTTCAATTTAGTGTCAACTCTTCAACTCTTGAAGAAGAAAATCTGCACGGTCGGAAACTGCACGACACAAGAACAGGAGTTAATACATGATGTGGACAACACGCACATCGGAAGAGCAGAAACAAAGAATGGCGTATTTGTCTTACGCTTCAAGGCAGCAAAACCTCCTGAAAATGCCGCTCTTCTTCAAGCTCCATCCATCATCGCAGCAGCCGCTTTGGGGACCGTTCCACCAATTGAACTCAGCAGCAGCGAAGAAGAAAATGAAAGTAGCAGCACCACCGACATCCTTGACGACACACCTGCCATTAATATCAAGGAAGATGTTAGTCAAGAACACGAGGAAAATCTCCACCTCGCTCTTGAAAAATTCTTCGACACGACAACTACTCTCGACAAACCTTCCGATACTTCTTCAACTACCAGTATCTCAAAGAAAGGTTACTCACTCTCAAGGTTTTTACTTCCTTCATATTTTACAATCTTGATTCTTGCTTGGCTGACCATAGCAGCAAGCGAGCTCAGTTCTACGCTGCAACCGTTCCTACACTACAGAGAAGCCGCTTACAATACTACGACTTCCATTGTCTACGAGCAAGGCACGGGCCTCAACTGCTATCAAACTCCTCGTCATCGCGTTCAACAATGCAATGAAGCAGAAGGGTTGAACAGTACCCTACACGAGCTACGTGAACAGCTGCGTGCACTGCTGACTCAACATATTTCCCTGCCCGAAGCTGCATCATCGGATTTGCCCGTCACTTCATGGTTTGTCAAACCTCCAGACGATGTCGAGACTCCTCTCCACCACGTGCAACACTCTCGTGGTTTTGCATTCATCACCTTCGGCCCTGCCACGTTCATTGGCGCAACCCCAACCACTTTTAACCCGACTCATTTTTCCTCTGCCGAAGTGAGGGGGGGAAGGAGGATCTACACGCACTTCGTCAAAGACAAAATTCGTCATCAACAACGGAAGGAAGCGATAGGTCTACCATTTAACCAATGGAATGACCGCCGACTACTTACAGCACATGAAGTTTACACGTCACAAGATTCCGAATTGCAGATTTCATTCGCCGGACTCCAACAACGACGTGACTACATCGAACTTCCAGGAATGAAGGGGAGTGTTGTGATAAATGAAGTTTTGCATTCCTGCAAGTTCCGTTTGCAGTGTAGTTAGCAGTATCGAGATTTCTCGGTAAGGAAACAAGTCCGAGTGCTGACGTCAGCAAAGCATCCCGGTTCTCGTGATGACGTCACATACCGCTTCAGTTACGCGAATAGGCGTAACGAGTCGTTTCAGTCACGCGAACAGTCGCGACCCTACAGAATGACGAATAGGTCGCATTGCGCGATAGCGACGAACAGATACATTAGCGAACAGGTACTTTCCCTAGAGCTATAAATCCTTGTAATGTCTTTCTATTATTAACCTTGACTTTCCACAGAATTATATGCTTAGGTTATTCATATCAAACATGTGTATTTGTCATGTTTGTATAGACTCTATAGGGTAGCCTCTTAGAGGGTACAACACTTAGGTATATCTGTGTGTACTCTCACTCTATCATCTATTCACTTCTCTAATTTTGATATGGTATCAGAGCGTAGGTTAGGATCCCCCCCCACCTACCGCTTCTGCTCGCCCTCCTAGCCCCATCGTGCCCCTAGCCCAGTCGCGACCCCCCCTAGCCCCGTCGCGCCCTTCCTGGGCCCCGTCGCGCCCCTCCCAGGCCTCGTCGCGCCCCTCCTGGGCCCCGTCGCGCCCCTCCTGGGCCCCGTAGCGCCCCTCCTGGGCCCCGTCGCGCCCTTCCTAGGCCCTGTAGCCCCCCTCCTGGGCCCCGTCGCGCCCCTCCCAGGCCCTGTCGCGCCCCTCCTGGGCTCCGTAGCGCCCCTCCTGGGCCCCGTCGCGCCCCTCCTAGGCCCCGTAGCGCCCCTCCTGGGCCTCGTCGCGCCCCTCCTGGGCTTCGTAGCGCCCCTCCTGGGCCCCGTCGCGCCCTTCCTCGGCCCTGTAGCGCCCCTCCTGGGCCCCGTAGCGCCCCTCCTGGGCCTCGTCGCGCCCCTCCTGGGCTCCGTAGCGCTCCTCCTGGGCCCCGTCGCGCCCCTCCTAGGCCCCGTAGCGCCCCTCCTGGGCCTCGTCGCGCCCCTCCTGGGCTCCGTAGCGCCCCTCCTGGGCCCCGTCGCGCCCCTCCTGGGCCCCTGTAGCGCCCCTCCTGGGCCCCCAGTCGTGCCCCTCCTGGGCCCCGTAGCGCCCCTCCTAGGCCGCGTCGAGCCCCCTCCTGGGCCCCGTCATGCCTTCAGGCCCCGTCGCACCCGCCCGGCCCCGTCTCACCAGCCCGGCCCCGTCACGCTCGCCCGGCCCCGCCGCAAGGCGGACGTGCCTGGAGCACAAGGCCGACGTGCCTGGAGCTCTCATCCCCTGGCTTGTCTCTGCGCGTGTCCACCGCGGTCTCCCTGTCTTGCGTCTTCACTCAGACCGTGATGGCGAGTTTGCCTCAGGTGTCCTTGGTCGCTTTTGTCGTGCGGAGGGCATCACCCAGACGTTCACCCTACCGGACTCCCCACAGCAGAATGGGGTCGCTGAGCGACGCATCGGTTTGGTCATGGAGGTGGCTCGCACCTCCATGATCCATGCCGGTGCACCCCATTTTCTCTGGCCGTTCGCTGTGCGCTACGCTTCTCACCAGCTTAACTTGAGGCCGCACCCTCAGCAGCCGCAGGTTTCGCCGACCCGTCTTTGGACCGGGTCTCCTGGTGACGCGTCAGCGTTCCACGTCTGGGGCTGCCTTTCTCATGTCCGTGCCTCCGGCACGGACAAGCTCACTGCCCGCACCCTTCCCTGCGTCTTCCTCGGTTTTCCCCTTGACGCGTCCGACTGGCACTTTTACCACCCGCCGTCTCACCGGTTCTTTCACTCTCGTGACGTCACCTTTGACGAGTCTGTCTCCTACTACCGTCGCTTCCCCCACCGTAGTCCCCCGGTTACCCCCCCCCTGTTCCTGGTCACTCCTTCCCCGGTCGTCCCTGCCCCTCCTCCTCCTCCTCCACGTCCCGCCCCCTCTGGTGTGTCCGACGTCACCCCCCTTCAGTCGGTGGACCCGGTTGAGGAATCTTCTGACTCTGGTGGCCCTCCTGTTCAGTCCTCGCCGGCCGCCCCTCCCCTGGCGTCCCCTCCCCAGTCCCCCCCTCCACTGCCTCTGCCGCCGCTGCAGCCGTCGTTGTTGCCGCCGCCGCCGCCGCCGCCGTCGCAGCACCCGTTCGCTGACTCTGGGGGTGCTCGTCCCGGTAGCCCTGGGGGTGGTCCCTCTGGGGGTGCTGGTGTGGAGAGTGCCGGTGGTAGCCGAGGAGCAGCTTGCGGTCCAGGTGTCGCCGTTGTGCCGCCGCAGCAGCAGTCCCCGCCGGTGTCAGCCCTTCGCCTGCTCGGCCTTCCGTCCCCCGACCCTGCGTCGGTTCCTCCCCGACCGTCTCCTCCTCTTCCTGTCTACGGCACTGTCTTCCCTCCGCCGGACTCGTCCCCTGCCCGTCTCCCCCCTCGTTCCCCTCCGGTGTCCCCTCCTCTGTCTCCTGACCCGACTCCTCCGTCGCACGTCTGGTCTCACCGTCCCTCCCGTGCGCGTCCTGCCTCGCCTGTCTTGCGCTCCCACCCTATGTTGCTTCGTTCCCACGCGTCTCGTCCTCCCCTTCTGCCGTCGCCTCCTCCGTCCTCCCTTGCTATTGCACCCCCCCCGCTGTCTGATTACCTTCGTGCCGCTCGTCCCCTTGTTCCTCGGGTCCTTGCCTCTCTCGTTACCCACCCGTCTGTTCCGGCCTCGTGCCTTGACGCTCTTGTCGCTGCTGTCGCTGACTTCGCCTCTACCCGCCGCCTTGACTACGCCACCGCTCTGGTCTCTGACCCTGCCTGTCCTCCGTCTGTCGGGGGTGCTCCTGCCCTTGGCAGTGACGTCCTGGAGGACCGCCAGTTCGAGCTTGCTTTCCTGTCCGAGGCTGCTCCCCATCTCTGTTCCATGCTGCTAGTCCCTGAGGGTGACCCAGACGCTTTCGACATCCCGACCCCTCGCACTTACGCTGAGGCGACTTCGGGACCCTGGGCCTCTCAGTGGATAGCTGCCATGGAGCAGGAGATGGCATCTTGGAGATCCACCGGCAACTTCGTCGACGCAGTTCCCCCACCTGGGGTGAACGTAGTCGATGGCCGCTGGCTCTTCAAGGTGAAGCGCCCTCCTGGAGAGCCGCCTGTCTTCAAGGCGCGCTATGTGGCTAGAGGCTTCAGTCAGCGTGACGGGGTAGACTTCTTCCAGACCTTCGCTCCGACCCCGAAGATGACTACTCTTCGGGTTCTGTTACTCCTAGCTGCTCAGCGTGACTACGAGCTCCACTCCCTCGACTTCTCCACTGCCTTCCTTCAGGGCAGCCTACACGAGCAGGTCTACTTGCGTCGTCCTCAGGGCTTTACTGGTACCTTCCCTCCTGGGACCCAGTGGCTCCTGCGACGCCCCGTCTACGGCCTGCGCGAGGCTCCCCGTGAGTGGCACGACACTCTCCGTGCTACGCTTGCTGACCTGCAGTTCTTTCCGTCTTCCGCAGACCCTTCACTCTTCGTTCGTGCTGGCCAGACTCCGTTCTACATCCTTGTTTACGTCGACGACCTAGTCTTTGCCACAGCAGACAGGGACGCACTGGCCTCCGTGAAGGCAGAGCTGCTGAAGAGACACACGTGCACTGACCTTGGAAAACTGCGCCGTTACCTTGGCTTGCAGATCTCCAGGGACAGAGCTGCGCGCACCATCACCCTGACTCAGTCACACTTGGTGCGCCAGGTCCTTCAGAGGTTCAGCCTTCAGTTCTCTTCTGCACAGCCCACCCCTCTGCTTGTAGACCACAGACTCTCCGCTCCAGTGTCTGAGGAGTTGGTAGAGCCCAGCGGCCCCTACGCAGAGCTGGTGGGTTGCCTCATGTACCTGATGACTTGCACCCGCCCAGATCTCGCATACCCTCTCAGCATCCTGGCTCGCTTTGTGGCCACAGGCAGACACCGACCGCAGCACTGGTCTGCCGCTAAAAGGGTTTTGCGTTATCTTGCTAGTACATCGGACATGGGGTTAGTGCTAGGTGGACGTAGGCCAGTGGTCCTTACTGGACACACAGACGCTTCGTGGGCAGACGACGCTGAGACACTCAGGTCTACCCAGGGCTACTGCTTCAGCCTTGGCTCAGGTGCCGTCTCGTGGAGAGCTACCCGCTCCTCGTCTGTTGCCCAGTCCAGCTGTGAGGCTGAGATCTACGCTGGTGCCATGGCGGCACAGGAGCTCCGCTGGCTGACCTTCTTGCTCACTGACTTAGGTGAGCGGCCTAGCTCTGCCCCGGTCCTGTTCGCTGACAACAGGGCCATGATCCTCCTGTGTCAGGAGCCTCGACTTGAGGGCAGAGCAAAGCACATTCAGCTGCGGTACTTCCTCATGCTCGAGCTACAGCAGCGACATCAGGCTCGCGTAGTACACTTGGCCTCAGGTGCCAACACGGCTGATATCTTTACGAAGGCGCTTGCGCCTAAAGATCATTAGCAGCACTGTGTACAGCTTGGTCTAGTTCCTGTAGCCTCTCACTTGCTAGGACCTTGACTTTGTACTGTCCTTTATACGTATACTCAGACTGGACTTGTGTCCTCTCCCAGTGGCTGGACTAGTAGTGCCGCCCTGCTCTTGTTCTTGCCTTGTCTGTACTCCTTCTGACTGGTCTCTCAGACCCCTGCCTCAGAGGTTGGACTAGTAGTGCCGCCCTGAGCTGCTTGTTTAGGACATTCCCCTATGCAGTCTAGGGGGTGTGTCAAACATGTGTATTTGTCATGTTTGTATAGACTGTATAGGGTAGCCTCTTAGAGGGTACAACACTTAGGTATATCTGTGTGTACTCTCTATCATCTATTCACTTCTCTAATTTTGATAATTCAACCTTCGACTACCCACAAGTTCATGTGCTCAGGTTCACTCTGATAATACTTCCGCTGTCTTACTAGTCTACCATTCCAGCAAAGATCCTGGACCAACACTTGAGGGTTTGCCAAGTGTTCGCATTTATAGTTTTATACTTAGTCTTCTACAACATCAGGGAGATTTATTTCAAATGCAACCCTGTTCATGACTAAACGGGATGTCACCCAACCATGATGTGAGAAAAGTGCAGGGCTATCACATTTCTCCACATCCTGCATAGAGGAATCGTATTGGCGCAGAAAAGAGACTCTCAAGTCACATCAGCTAGCAAGGTCACCAATAAAGAACTCTTCCACCTGATCGAAGACCCGTGATGCATGCTGAGGCCTGCAAACAATAGCCAGCACAAGCCACAGCTTGTTATTTTACTTGTTGGAAGTGGGCTTACAGAATAATACATGTATAATTCTGGAAAACGCCCACTAACACTCCAGGCATACCCATAGAAGCCTTCTGTCGCATCGCCTCCTGCATTGTTGAGAATGGCATCGCCGCCTGGGTGCTCATCCACATATGATGTCAGATCGTACACCTGAGAGATGCATGTGGAGGCAGGAAGCATGGTGAGCATCCCGAGAAGAGCAAGGAGGGCTGTGGACACATCATGTGCCCATCCACATAATTACTGTCAGATCATACACTTGACACATGCTCAGCAACATACCATGTCAGGTTATATGCCTGACACGTGGAGACAACACAAGAATCATACAGACCCTAATTCATAAGTAGAACCAAAATTAGCAGAAGAGGGCGGGGAGGGGGAGCCATTGCCAGTCTAACCAGGCGCAGACAGTGAAACAGAGGAGATTGAGAGGTGGTGGCATGAGGTGGAGGCATGAGGTGGCGGCGTGGGGTGGCGACATGAGATGGCGGCACGGCATGAGGTGGGCATGAGGTGGCGGTATGAGGTGGCGGCATGAGGTGGAGGCATGAGGTGGTGGCATGAGGTGGCGGCATGAGGTGGCGGCATGAGGTGGCGGCATGAGGTGGAGGCATGAGGTGGCGGCAGGAGGTGGCGGCATGAGGTGGCGGCATGAGGTGGCAGCATGAGGTGGCGGCATGAGGTGGCAGCATGAGGTGGCGGCACGAGGTGGCGGCATGAGGTGGCGGCATGAGGTGGCAGCATGAGGTGGCAGCATGAGGTGGCGGCACGAGGTGGCGGCATGAGGTGGCGGCATGAGGTGGCAGCATGAGGTGGCGGCACGAGGTGGCGGCACGAGGTGGCGGCATGAGGTGGCGGCATGAGGTGGCGGCATGAAGTGGAGGCATGTGTGGCACCTTGTTCTTGATGATGACCCAGCAGTCGTCCCGCTTGTTGTGCGCCGCCACCTCCTCCTTGCTGTACACCTTGGTGGGCTTCGCCTCCTGTCAGTTGGGGGAACAAGGCGGACGGGGAGACTCGGAGGTTGAGGACATAGCTTCACGGCACGGGGCTCTGGGAAGGAGAGTGAGGCTTCGAGGAGGAAAGAAGTGACTGGTGATGAGATGAGAGGAGCACTCACTGACTCACATGAAGGATGCGGAATGGCATGCATGTGGATGTGCTGCGTCCACCTGATTGAACGGCGTTCGTGCAAGGAGGTGGAGGAGCAGACAACTCGTGAGGTGACGCAAACGGGAGAAGCATGGGGTAAAGTTAGGCCTTCACAAAGTGTTCGAATTTGGAAAATACATACCTTTGCAGATGAGCTATTGTGACCAGCGTCTTGGCTCTTGCCTGGATGCACGAACACCAAAAGAAAGAGCACAAAACAAGGGTGCAGAAGAGAAGGGCTCTGAGGAATGTGAGGGGGTTGAGGGGCTCGCACGGTCTGAGGGGGTTGAGGGGCTCGCACGGTCTGAGGGGGTTGAGGGGCTCGCACGGTCTGAGGGGGTTGAGGGGCTCGCACGGTCTGAGGGGGTTGAGGGGCTCGCACGGTCTGAGGGGGTTGAGGGGCTCGCACGGTCTGAGGGGTTTGAGTGCAGACTCTGTCAACCACCTGATTCGTTATCCATGACTCGCCACTTCCTCTGCCGCCTTGTTCCTGCCAAGCACACTACCATTTTGCACTCACAGCTGCACATACCCTGTCACCGCGCATGTCTGTGGACTCCTGTGTTTGGCAAAGCAAAGCGCCCAGCGCGGCTCATCGTTTCCAGACCACTATTTCCCCCCCTGACCCGCGGACTACCTCCTCCTTTCCTCAACCCGCGGGTCGCCTCGCCACAACCACCCTCGCGTCGTGGCGTGGCTCGGGTCCCCACAAGCGCCCTCCCTCTAGTATCGCCCTCGCAACAGCAAGCAACCAAGGTCTGCGTCTGTTGCGTATTTTGCGTGCAAAATGAATGGTTCACCCAAGCTACATTGCGGGGAGCCCCACTCGTGATTAAAGATTGCTGTCATGCCATGCTACCTTGAGACAAGCGTCGGCCATTGGCAGCATGATCGCACACCCTTGCGACAAGCTTCGGCCATAGGTAGCATGATCGCATGCTACCATGCAACAAGCGTCGGCCATAGGTAGCATAATCGCGACCACCGGTGCCATGTCGCCATGAGACAGCTACCGAACCCGCGAGGGTTGATCGACCGCTAGCCGCCGAGAGGAGTCCATCCCGCTCATTGCTCATTGCTCATTGCTCATTGCTCATTGCTCATTACTCATTGCTCATTTTGCGAGGTTCGTCTCTCGTGCCGCGGGGTTTATTTCTCAGACTCATTTCTCACCTTGCGACGCGCCGAGCCACGAGGCGACGACCATGATGAGCACGAGCGCGACGATGAGACCCGGTAGGCCCAGCGACTGCGCCGAATGCGCGAGCTGCGCGAGCTCCATGGCGCAGAAGGTGGGCGAGACGACGAACTACTTTTAAGTCGACTCAAAGTCACCTCGATAGGCGAAATCACGAACGGCTGGCGTGCTAAATGCGAGATGCCAGCTCAATGCCACATACCAAATGCCAGCGCTTAGGTAACACGACGCGCAGGGAGCAGGGAGAAGGTACCCGAAAGGGAAGACCGACTTTACTCCTTTGCGGAGCCACGAGTTCTCGCGCGAGACGGGAATGATGGAGACGTAGAGACTGGAAACTATTATGGAGCTGCGGTACTGCAGGATAACAAAAGCAGCTTGTCAGGAACAAGACGGACCTCCCCAAGTCTGGCAGAGACTGGAATCTCGGGAATGGTTTGGGCGGGGTTGGGCGCGTGTGCCCGCCGAAAATCCCGCTAAACGAAAATCCAACTTCCCCATGTTGGCGAAAATCACCAGTGCGAAAACTGCCACGCTGGAAAATATGACAGCGCTTCACTGGAGGGCGAAGGCAAGAAATTGCTTGCGAATCGTGACGTGGAGGAGTAGGCTGTTGTATCCGTTTCAATCTGATCGGTTTCGACTCCAGTTTGCACTTCTTCCCTGACTACCCCGAGAATAAAAAGTTGTAGTTTGAAGAAACTACATGAGCAAGCACCATTAATCATTTCTTTTGTCATATGGGTCATATGCACTACGTTGAACTATGAGCCACGGGTTTTAATAAACACGGGGGGAAAGTCGAAATGGAGAATGATTAAATGCTCGGATTTAACGTGGAATAAATATATCCTAAGCTAATAACCAAAGTCATCTCTGATGGGTTCCCATGATATTTCACTCCATTTTAAGCCATAGTATTTTTGATATATCACCTGTAATTTTATAATATGACCGAGTGACGGTCTATATTACATTGTAAACAGAGCAGGTGGTAGCGGGCAAACGTAAACTGAGATGCGAGTCGCGATCGCGACGGCATCCGTCATTTTGCGCCAGAATTAGATGCAAAACTAACCTGAACGGTCACCTATCTCGTCAAGCTGGCTTCTCCCGCCAGATTCATGTTAGGCAGGGCCGTGCCGCGTTCAGGCGAAGTCGGTGATTCAACTGTCAAGCCTAGCGAAACAAGCTAACGATCAGTTACCGGCCTCGTCCAGGGGAAGTTACACACGGCAGGAATAATTTCTGACGGCTTGTTGCAGTAAACCGTCACGACCACCCAAGGTCTCAAGGTTCCTTGGCCTGGCTGTCAACGGCCGCCGTCATCTTTGGTTGGTGTACTGTACAACAATGCTCCGTGTTGCCCACCACTTCACTTGCGGCTCGCCGTGGGCTTGCGCCAAGCCCCCTGTTGGGTTTCGGCTCCAAGGGTAGTAGAGCCAGGTGCGCGCAACGTGGGGCAACAAACTGATTTCCAAACGTCGACGCCGAGCCAAACTCCAAGGGGATCAAAACGGCACCGAACCAGCCAAGCCTCTACTTTCGGTGTTCTAGAGGCTCGTTAGGTTCGTATAGAGGAGCCACCGATATTGGCACGCGGGCCAGTAGCGACAAACAGAGGGAAGGGGTGTGGTTGCGGGTGGTACTGGTAGGTTTTGTGCTCACCTGGCCTCCTCCCCCGCAGCACAAACACGAGCACAGCAAACAGGCAAAGTGTAGCCAACTTGTTCCCAAACCCCACACACACCCACAATAGGGGTATCTTGCTAGCTGGCGGAAATGGGCTGCTTTGGAAGGTGGGACACGTCAAGTTTCGGTGGTGTGATATGGCGCTGTGGCAGCTTTGAAATGTCAGTCATGCACTTCTTATATTAGGCTAGTCTTTTGGAAAGTGTTCCCAGCGCGAGGTAAATGCTCGTTTTGTATCTTCGTTGACATCTCTGTAACCAGTTCTAGGTTTCTAAGCAGCAAATCACACGCGCGACCAGTTCTAGGTTTCCATTAGTCCAATGAGCCGAGGCTGGTAGGAATGCTCGTGGTTCGGAAAGGATCCGTATGGGGGGTGGCTGATTTTCTTAGCAGGTTGGACGACGCGACGCAACATTCCGTATCGTACGGCGACGATGCGACGCAATATTCTGTGTCTTACGGCGACGACGCGACGCAACGGTACGCGTCACACGGCGACGATGAGGCAGGCTTCAGAGATGGGAAGAGCAGCCATTTCGACCGCATCAGTCAAGGCGGGCCGAGAGAGCAGCGGGGAGAGATGACGGGTGGGAAACTTCCCAGAAGCCGGGGAAGCGAAGGGTGGGGGAGAGAAGGGAGGGGAGGGTGGGAGAGGGAGGGCTGCAGCTGCAGCTGCGGAGCCGAAAGAACGAGAGAAAAACGAGAAGCCGTTTCCTTTAACGAGGGGAGGGCGGAACCATTGCAATATTGCGACTACCCTCCAGCAGCCGAGTGCTTGTTAAAAGGCTGGTCGGTGCGAGCTTCTCAGTGGGACTCAGCAGCGTGCTGGGTTGACCCAGAGGGCATGCGTCGAAGAGTTACTGGAGCTGGCGACGGGTCTGCATGCGCCCCCTCCTTGCGTGACGCTTCCGGTGGTACTTGTAGCAGCTGCCATAGTACAGGTGGGGGCGTTCATAACGCGGACGAGATGTTTTGTGGTAGCAGTAGGGCCAATAGCAGTGGCACCAGCAGCAGCAGCGACAGCAACGGCAGTAGCAGCAGCAGCGATGGCGGTTCATGGGGTAGCGGACACGATAGTAGGTGCCATGGCTGGTATAGCGACGGGCAGTCGCACAGGGAAGGTAGGTGCAGCGCTGGCGGTAGGCATAGCAGGACTGGGGGCAGGTGCTGTTGGGAGGACTCGAATAGTGACGGCAACACGAATAGTGGCGGTAGATTAGCCGGCCACGCTAGTGATGAAGCGGGGGACAGTGCAAGGGAGGGCGCAAGGGAGAGCAGTCGGGATAGGAAGAGCGGATGGGTTGAGAAAGCGTTTAGGGTTTCGAGTAGCTCTGAGTGTGCTTCCACTAACATCCTGACTGCACAGCATCGCCCCCGCTCCTTCGCAACCCCCCCCGCTCCCTCCGCCCTCTTTCCCCACTCCGCGCGCCTTCCCCTCTGCCTTCCCCTCATCCTCTCCTTCCTCCTCCTCCTCCTCCTCCCCCTCTCCCCCGCGCGCGCGCAAGTCCTCCCCTCGACTTTCCGCGTGCTGTCGTTCGTCGACACCTTCTGCGCCTCCCCGCTCGTTCCGCCCGACCGTCGCGAGGACGGCCCCGTCATGGGGCCGCTCCCGGGGGGAAATGGCGGGGGGACTAGCGCGGGAGGGGCGCAGAAGTCCGGGGCAGGGGGAGTTGGGCCGAACTGCGCAGTGACGGTTTCCACAGGGCTGTTACCGTCGCAAGCTGACAACAGTAGCAGTGACACTTACAACAGCACGGCCTGGCGACTCACGTATGTATTGGCTGTGGGTGTGGTCCCCACGGATTTCGACTGGCCCGATCAGACGGTACAGTCCATACGCGTTAATGGACGGGAGATGCTCACTGCAGGGCCGTGCAGACCCGTGGGTCGGTGCGGGGGCACCCGCCCCTTCGCCTGCTACATGGGGGACGTCTCGTGGGCGCTGCCCGCCCGTAACAGTGCTGCAGCCAGTAGTAACACCACTGGCAACCCTACTGTCAATGCGACGCTCACTGTTACAGTTACGGCCTCGGCTAAGGTCGCGCAGCCGTGCCGTCTCTGTGGGGGCTTCCAGCAGTTACCCTGTCAGGTGTTACAAGCAGCGGTTCGCCTGACCGCTGTGCTGGTCCCAGTCTCGCTGCAGCAGCCGCAGCCGGGCCAGCCACTACAGGAGCAAGCTCCAGCCGGCGCCGCTACAGCCGTTGGTCCCGCTACAGCTTCTGGTTCAGGTAATGGTAGCGGAAAAGTCCCGGCTGCAGTATCAGGCGCGGTTGTAGCCGAAGGGGGAGGTGCCGCAGCAGGAGGGGCGCCGAAAGCGGCTGCTGAGGTGGCAGACGGCGGTGCTGCTAGCACCTCGGCGCCTGTGCCGCTGCAAAGCCGCCTGGCCGCATCCCCCGCTGCCCAGGCGGCGACAGCGGCGGGCAGTTCCCTGAGCAGCAGCACTGGGGTGGTGGCCGGCGGCGAGGGAGTGCGGGGAGAAGCAGAGCCGCCCGCGCGAGCAGTAACGGTCGCATCTGCACCGGGCGTGGCGGTGTCGTTTGTGCGCGGCCCAGGGGGGGTGTCCAAGGTGCCCCGGTCGCGATTCTCTTGGCAGGCGCTGGAGACCAAGGGCGTGCACACGGCAGTGCGCTGCGACGGGTGCACCTACGTGTGTAAGGTGGGCACCATGCACGGTCTGCCCTCCCACTGTCTGCTCCCCACCCTCCTCTTCCCCACCCTCCTCTTCCCCCTCACTCCCCGACACATCGCCCACCCCATATCCCCACCCCTCCTTCTCCTTTCCCCCTTGTTGTCGTCCGCGTGCCCTCTTCCACCTCCACCGCGCTGCCCGAGTTCCCCTGCACTGCGCGAGTGGATGGTTCTCCCCTCACACTCTGCCCTCCCCCTCCCCCTCCTCTCTCCCGCTCCCTTCCTTCATCCCTCCCACCTACAGCTCGACTCTCTCCCCGAGTTCCCCTTCCCGCATGGCTGCCTTTCCCCTCACAACCCTTCCCCCTCCCCTCCCCCCCGCTCCCACCCTCCCCCCAATTCCCTCCTCCCCGCTTCCACCTGCAGCTCCACTCGCTCCCCGCGTTCTCCTGCCCGCGCGGCTGGTTCTCCCCTCACTCCCCTCACAACGCTCTGTCCAACGCCCAACTCCCTTCGCCCTCCCCCATACTCCCCTCGGGCAGCTCGACTCGCTCCCTGCGCTCCCCTGCCCGCGCGGCTGCTCCCCTCAGCGCCTCTCCCCTCGTTCCTCTTTCGCCCTTCCCTCGTGCAGCTCGACTCCCTCCCCGCGTTCCCCTGCCCGCGTGGCTGGTTCACAGCGAGGGGCCTCACGGACGGGCCCCACCTCTTCACAGTCACGGCGGTGAAGGGCGCCAAGGGGGTCACTGGCAGCCGCCTGCAGGCAGCTGCTGCCGCAGTGGGAGGAGGAGAGGTGGGAGGGGCGCAGGTGGAGGCTCAGGCACAGGCAACTTATGAATGGGTTGTGGGTACGTCGTTTTCCATCCATTCGTTTCTGTTTGCCCTTTATTGATCCATGATTCGTTCGCCCAATTTAGAGGCTCCCTCCCCCACCCCACCCTTCTCAAGCCCTCGCGCTTCTCTCCTGTTCTCCGTGCTCGTTCCCATCCGCCTGTGCCCTTCATTCCGTTCTCTGCCTCCCCGCGTGCTCCATCAGACGCTGCCAGCCCGGTGCCAACACTGACTGTGGACCCCCCGCAAGCAAGGGAGGGGTCGGTGCGCATCAACATCACCTTTGACAAGCCGTGCCTGGGGCTGCAGTGCACCGCCACTGCCTGCGATGTGCGTAGCTGCATAGCTGTGTAACACTGTGCCGGTGTTTGTGCGCCGGCCGCGGTGGGTGTGTGCCACTGTTTGTGTGCCGGTTCGTCTATGTCCGCGCATCCTAGTTTCTGCGTGAACGCATGGCCGCCCTCCTCACGCACCCACCTGTCCCACTCTCCTCCCATCATTCCCTCTCCTCCCATCATCCCCCTCTCCTCCCATCATCCCCCTCTCCTCCCATCATTCCCTCTCCTCCCATCATCCCCCTCTCCTCCCATCATCCCCCTCTCCTCCCATTGGCACCAGCCCATTCCCAGGGGTCGTTGATTGGGCTGCCTCAAACCATGCCTAAAGCTAGGGGTCACCCCTTTCCTCCTCAACCCCTCAACCGCGCATCCCTCCTCCTGTAAACCCGCTCAATCCCTTTATCCACCTCCCCCCCCCCTTCCTTCTCTTCATCTCCCCCCTCTTTGAACCCCAGATTGAGGCGTCACCACAAGGCATAGTGACTATAGACGCGTCCTCGTTCACAGCCTCGCAGGACGGCTCTAGCTACAGCGCCACGGCCACCCTGCCATCCATCACCAGCAGCAGTGGCGCAGAAAGCGCCAGCAGCAATGCCACCAATTCCACCAGCAGCAGTGGCAGCGCCGGCAGCAGCAATGGCGCTGTGACGGTGGCTCTGAGGCCAGGCTCCTGTGCTGACTCCAGTGGGAGGGCGTGGACAGCGGGGTTTGACTCTTATGCCGTCATCAGGATAGGTATGTGCCACCGTACCCCCTCTGCCACCATACCTCCTTCGCTTTTGAGTCGACTCAAAACCATAACGGGACAAGGGCAACCTGTATTGTGATGGGCCCTTTGGCGTGCTCACGTTCCTCACTCAGCCACAAGCCATACCTTTACCACTGCAAGCTCAAACCAACCGCCCTGACTCCCCTCCCCACCCCGACCCCCACCCCCCATCCAGACCGGGACAGTCTCGAGGCGACCCTCTCGTGCGACACGCCCTTTGCCGTGGTGAAGTTCTTCACTCAGCTCCGAGCCACGCCGCGAGTCAGCCAGTCTCCCGTGACCTGCCGCGTGCTCTTCTCCAAGCCCGTGCGCACCTTCTCCTCCGCCTCGCTGGCTGTGGTGAACGCCACGAGCAGCGAGCCCCAAGCGGTGTCGGATGTGGAGTACGAGTTCCAGGTGTGGCCCACGGGGGAGGGGTCCGTGGTGGTGGACATACGCTCTGCGGACATCACCGATGCTGCCGGCAACATCTGCCAGCCCACACAGCCCTTCTTCTTCTTCTTTGGTGCGCCCTCTCCCCCCCTTCCCTCCCCTCCCTCCCTTCCTCCCTTCATTACGCCCTTCTTTGCACGATTTTTTTTGCCCACCACTCGCACTCTAGTGCCAGCGCACCCCGCCCTTCGTCCTCTTCTTCTTTGATGTGCCCTCCTCTCCCCCCCCGCGCTCTTCCTCAATGCTCCCTTCAAGTAGCACTCACTCTACTCGCACCTGCTAAGACTGGCTGTCGGCAGTCTCACTCTAGCAAACCCCCACTTGCCATCCGGGTGCTATCCACCCCGCTCCTCTTGATTCCTGCCTTCGTCCTCCCTTGTGCCAACCCCCACCTCCCTCCCCCCGCCTCCCTCCCTCCCTCCCTCCTCCCCTCCAGATACCACGCCTCCCACGGTGCAGCTGAGCTCGAGTGAGAGCAGCACGGACACGGACTGGGTGTACCCCATCCTCGTGGCCTTCTCGGAGCCCGTGCTGGGCTTCAACAGCTCCTCGCTGCAGCTCTCCAACGGGGTCATCACCTGGTAGGACGGCTGCTTTACCTACCACCCCATGGCCCATGGGCTGCTATGGTATCACATCACTGGGTGCACCCCATCCTTGTGGCTTTCTCTCTCAGAGCACATTCTCGGCTTGAACAGCAGCAGCTCGATGCAGCTGCCAAGGGGGTCATCACATCACACGGTGAGATGGTCGCTGTCGTGGCAAGGCATGGCAGATGCTCTTATCACATGGTGAGATGGTCGCTGTCATGGCAAGGCATGGCAGATGCTCTTATCACATGGTGAGATGGTCGCTGTCGTGGCAAGGCATGGCAGATGCTCTTATGACATGGTGAGATGGTTGCTGTCGTGGCAAGTCATGGCAGATGCTCTTATCACATGGTGAGATGGTTGCTGTCGTCACATGGTACAGGATTTCATGTTGCCACAGGGTAAGGTGACTGCTTTCTCACTCTCCTCTCCCACACTCTCCTCTCCCGCACTCTCCTCTCCCACACTCTCCTCTCCCACACTCTCCTCTTCCACACTCTCCTCTCCCACACTCTCCTCTCCCACACTCTCCTCTCCCGCACTCTCCTCTCCCACACTCTCCTCTCCCACACTCTCCTCTCCCACACTCTCCTCTCCCACACTCTCCGTCCAGGCACTCCCATCCTTGTCCCCCAGGTCTCCCTTCGTTTCCCCGCCCCTCCTCTCCCCTCATCTCCCCTCCTGTCTTCTCCTCCCTTCCTTGTGCAGCCCGATCCGCGTGGACAGGGGTCTAGGGCGGCGCTACAAGGTGACAGGGGGTGCTGTCATCTCCTCTCATATCCCGTGCTCTCCGCTATCTCCCTCCTCTCCCTTGTGTTCCTTCCTCGCCCCCGTTTCCCTCCTCCTCACCCCCTCCTTGTGCAGCTGGTCAGGTGTGGACAGGGGTTCTGGGCGGTACTACGAGGTGACGGAGGCTTTTTGTTTTTTCCTCACTTATCTCCCTTCATCTCCGTCCTCTCTTTTCCTCTCTTATCTCCCCATCTCCTTCCCCCCCCGGCCTCCGCAGCTGGACGGGCGTGGACAGGGGTTTGGGGCGGTACTACGAGGTGACTGTGGCGGCAGTGAGTGATGGCGAGGTGACTGTATCGGTGCCGGGGGCAACGGTGGTGGACATAGCAGGCAACCTCAACTCGCCCTCCAACACACTCTCCCTCACACACTGTATGTTCAAACGCTCTCCCTCACACTTTATGTTGACACATCCCGCCTCACACTTGTAACATTCTCCCACACACAACTCCCCCATTCTCACTCTCCTCCCCGGCTCGCAAACTCCTCTCCCCCCTTCACACACTGGATGCTCAAGTCAGATACAGCCCCCCCCACTTCCTAACTTGGTTCTTCCTCCTCCCCCCCTTCTCTTTCCCCCTCTCCCCCGCCTCCCCTCTCTTCCCTCTCCCAGACGCACCAGGAGACGCAGGCACCATCACGGCGTGGGTGGTGACGGCAGTGCTGGGGTGGACCGCCCTGTCCACGGCCACCGTCTCCCTGGCCGTGACGATCAAGGAGTCCGACCCCACCTCCTCGCCCGGCATCCGCATCGTCTCCAACCGCCCCTTCAGGGCCGTCAGCACGCCCGTGGTTGGGGCTGACCCTTCTAGGAACATCCTGGTGAGTCACACGGCTGGTTCACTCTGCCATGGACTGTCCATGTGAGGGTTTTCTACCCTCCAACCAACATCACCCAGAACGACCTCACCTCCTGTTGAGTCGACTGATAAATCCTTGAACCAACATCACCGAGTCTGACCCCACCCACCTTCTCGGCCGCCGCCTGGAATTCGCATTGTCTACAGCCAGTCCTTTAAAGCCGTCAGCACACCCGCGGTGGGGGCCAACCTCTCTAGGAACATTCGGGTGAGCTGCCTATCTGTCTCCCTGTCAATATCTCCCTCCTTTCAGCTGCCTGCCTGTTGACTCAAATACTCGCAACCTTTCTCTCCCCCCACACTCTGCCCCCCCAGCGCATGTCGCTGCACCTGCAAGTCTTCGCCTTCACCCAGCACCTGGCAGTGCGAGTGCTGCCTCTCGTCATGCCCCAATCCCCTGCCCTCATTCCCCTCCCATCCGCCTCCCACCCCCCGCCCTTGACCGCAGCGCATGGCCCTGCATCTGCAGGTGTTCGCCCTGACCCAGCACCTGGCGGTGCGAGTGCTGCCGCTCTTTTACCGCCAGCTCACAGGGGGCCTGCGCTGGACCTACTTCTACATCCCGCCGCCCTTCAAAAGCTCCTTCGACGGCTGGAAGGGCGTGTATGCCACTCCCACTGACGCGCCTGGGCAGAACAGCAGCGACCCCCAGCCCTCCTGTGCCCCGTGAGTATAGCATGCGCCCACAGCTGCCTCCGCTGGAACCTTGTGCATCCCGCCGCCCTTCAAAGGCTCCTTCGACTGTTCGACGTCCGGAGGCGCGTGTATGCCTCGCTCACTCAGGCCCCTAGGCAGGAGGACAGCACCTCTCTGCCCGCCTGTGCCCCATGAGTATGCTGCAGCTGGCTTCAGCTGGGTTTGCTTTCTCAGCCGGAAGTGCGTGTATGCCTCGCCCACTGAGGCGCCTGGATGGGACAACAGTACCTCTCTGCCCCTATGTTGGAAAAAACACACAATTGTGTTTGCGTAGTGCGTCTAAACGCACCAAAAATAAGTACGCACGGGCTGACCAGAAAAAAAAACCCCCAAAAATCCGCGACAGTCCGCGACTGCGCGGACTCAAAAATTGGGGTTCACACCTTGCAAACTCAACTTCGAATTTGAATTTCGAACTCGACGTGCACCAACCCCCCCTCCCACCTGCTGACCACCCCCCTCCACCCCTTAACTTCCTATTCCCTGCCCAAACATTGTTTTTAACCTGCTCGAGCCAGCGAATTTTGTGCGTACCCGACCCCCTCCTCTGCAGCGTTTTGCGTCTATACGCAAGCGCACAAAACGCGAAACGCGTTTTTGCCAACATAGCTCTGCCCTCCGGTGCCCCCTTAGTACCGTGTGTTGTTAAATCTTTACCACCTTCCTTTTGTGTCATGCTGTCGAGTCATGATCCGCTACAGTGCTGCATCCCCCCACTCCTCTTCCCAGCCCCTCTCCATTGTGCCCTTTGGCACATTGCGTCCATCTCTCCCCCCTGCCCTTTCCACCCCCCAGGCTGTACCTGGCAACCAGGGGAGACAGTGCTGCATCCTCCTCCTCCTCCTCCTCCAACCCCTCTAGCGCGGCACCATCCAAGTTCTCCCCAAGCACCAATATCCCTCCACCAGAAGCAGCAGCAGCAGCAGCAGCAGCAGCAGACAGCACATCCGCACACCCCTCCTCGCCCCCGTCTCCCTCTCTCCTCCATCCTCGCAACCTCCGCCGCGTTCTCTCCTCGTCTCTCCGCTCCCTCCTCTCCTCCCTCGCCTCTCCCTCACTCAACCATGCGTCCCATCCGCGCACCATGCGCTCCTCTCGCTCTATCCGCAATACTGCCAATTCAATGCCAGCCCACACCCATGCCCATGCCCATGCCCATGCCCACATGCAAGCACGGCAACTGCAATCAGCCACATCACATGTGCACATGAGACATGCCATGTCACATCACAGCATCTCACATCACAGCCTGGCACATGGTCGCAGCTTGGGGTCCTCTCGAGCCCTCCCCTTCCTCCCCATCCCCACCTCGCCCTCTCCCACCCGCCTCCTACGAGGCCTGCCCTTGAGCCCCCCCACTCTCTCCTCCTCCTCCGCCTCCTTTCACTCCTCCCTTTACTCCTCCTTCCCATCCCACACACCCCTCTCGACTTCCCACTCACCTCACCCTTCAACCCATTATCATCGCATGCTTCAAGCGCAGACTGACAGTACCACAAGCACCAGCAACGGCACCAGCAGCAACAGCAGCGCAACCGGTTACAGTGACAGTTACTACAGTGCCAGTGGGTTCAACGCCTCTGCGTTTGTAGCATTGGCAGCGGCAGGGGGAGGGGCAGGGGGGAATGCAGCGGCAGTGGCAGCGGCTGGGGGTTTTGACCCGACGCTGCTGCCGCTGCTGAGCGAGGAGGAGTACGACTACATGCAGGCATGGGGTGACGCCTACTACTCGCACTACCCCAACCTCTTCTACTCCTACCACGGGTACGTTGCTGCTACTAGTATGCATACCCCCCATGTGGACTCCCTACTGCCATACATACCCCACCCCCTACTCCCACACAAGTAGCCCTAGACCTTTTGAGTCCCTTCCCCTCAAAACTACCCCCCAAAGCAGCAGGGGAGGTCGGCCAGTTACTGCTGACATTGTTAAGAGTGGAAAATAGTATGTGTGCATGCATGCAGGCATGGGGCGATGCGGACTGCTCACACTCCCCTGTTGTGCTCTTAACTCCCTCGCCTTCTCTCCTCCCTCCTTCCTCTCCCCCCCCCTTCCTCCTCTCCCCCAGCTTTGAGCAGTTCTGCACGGTGCTCTTCTGGTTCGCCATCTTCTTCTTCGCCCTCTCGCTCCTGCAACTGCTCTTCCAGTGGGCGTGGCAGCACTGGCGCTACCAGTGGCTCTACGGCCTGCTGGACCCGCCTCGCCTGCAGTTCCTCCTGCTCGCGCTCTCCCTGCTGGCCGTCTCCTGGGGCTGCACGCTGCTCATCCGCGGCAGCATGGAGCCGGGCGGCACGGCGGCGGGGCTGGCCGTGGGGGTGATAGTGCTGAACCTGTGGCCCGTGCTCTTTCTCATCTTCTCCTTCTCGGTCGTCTGGTACATCGTCGTCCAGGTGGGTTATCGTTGTTGTTCCGGTGGGTTCCATTGCCGCTCAGGGGGGCGGGCTGGCTGTTTCTTTGACGGGTCTAATAGTTGGCTGTGTTCAATGGCTCCCTAACGAATAAAATTGCTTAGTCATCGTTGTCTCCTTTCCTTCTCTCCTTCCCCCCTGCCTTCTCTCCCCCCCTTTTCTGCCCCTTCCAACACCCCCTTTCCTCCCTGCCTCCCTTCTCATCCCCAATCGCACGTTTCTTCGTGCGCGAGATGACGGAGCCGCGCAAAGAGGCGTGCATTGCGTCGTTTGCCCACCCTCGTCCCCCCCCCCCCCTCTCTCCTGCATGCCCTTGTTCCCCGTTCCTCCCATTCCAGGAGCAATTCGCGCGCTTCTTCGTGCGCGAGATGACGGAGCCGCGCAACGAGGCGTGCATCGCGTCGTTCGCGCGCACCTTCTGGGCGGCGCTGCGGCAGAAGCGGCTCAAGGGTCACTGGGTCACCATCACGCCCTCGCAGAAACACATTCTGCCGCGCTTTGGGATCTTCTTTGAAGACTTCACAGGTGAGGGATTGGAGAAGGGGTGAGGGATTGGAGAAGGGGTGAGGGATTGGAGAAGGGGTGAGGGATTGGAGAAGGGGTGAGGGATTGGAGAAGGGGTGAGGGATTGGAGTAGGGGTGAGGGATTGGAGAAGGGGTGAGGGATTGAAGGGCACGTGTATCCTAGAGACAGGTGCTATGGTTGCCAAGACTTGCTGCAGGAGAATACTTTTAGAGGCCGCAGCTGTATGCGATATGTATTTGGTGGAATAGTCATGTTACCGCGTGGAAGTCTTTATGTAACGCCAAGAGCTGTTATTCATGGCAAGCAAGCAGCCCTGTGTCACAGCAGCACCTAACAGCACTGGTCTTATTTCTGCGTTCTCTTTCTTTCCTTGCCCTTCCACCCCCACCCCACCCACCCAACCCCCCCTCCTCTTCTCCTGCTCCTCCTGTTTCTCTCTCCCCTATGTCTACCTCGTGCCAGTGTGGGGCTCTGTGGGAGCCTGGGGAGTGTTGAAGGACCGGCTGAGGGCTGCTTACGGCACTCTAGACTTTCTAAAAATGGTGAGGGCTGCTTGAAATGCTAGACTTTCTAAAAGTGGTAAGAGCTGCTGCTTATGGCTCCCTGTACTTTCTTAGAATAGAAAGGGGTGCTATATGAGTGTACATGGCTCCTGACGTTCTATCTAGCAGTGTGGTAAGGACCGCTCATGGCACACACACCCCCCCATGCCCAAACCCACACTCCCCTGCTCCTCTCTCTCTGCAGGTGTTGGTGGGAGTGCTGGTGGGGGCATGGAGCCCTGCAGCCAACTCCATCGCCCAGCAAGCATGCCTTCTCGTCCTCGCCTTCCTGCAGCTGCTCTTCCTCCTCTTCCTCCAGGTCCGTTTCATGCTCTTATGAGCACTATCTCCTTTCATGTCAGTGTCGTACTCTTTATAGACACGCTCAGGTCATTGTCGTATGCTATAAGCACACGGCTCCGTTCCTTGAGGTCAGTGTCATGCTCGTCAGCCTGCTCATCGTTTTCCACGGCTCTCCACTGCCCCTCCTCAATAACAGCCTGTCATCCGCCCTCCCTCCCTGTATTCTCTATCAGCCCTTTACCGAGCGCGGCCTGCAGGTGGTGGAGGCGGTGAGCGTGGGCGCGGAGGTGGTGCTGTTCACGTGCTCGCTGGTCATGGCGATCGACTGGGACATGTCATCCAATGCCGCTGGCACTCTCGGGCTTGTCATGGCATTGGCCGTGGGTGCTGCCTTCATCGGTCAGCTCTTCAACCAGTGAGTGCCTCTCTCTCTCTCTCTCTCTCTCTCTCTCTCTCTCTCTCTCTCTCTCTCTCTCTCTCTCTCTCTCTCTCTCTGTCACTCTCTCTCTCTCTCTCTCTCTCTCTCTCTCTCTCTCTCTCTCTCTCTCTCTCTCTCTCTCACACACACACACACACACACACACACACACACACACACACACACACACACACACACTCACACACTCACACACACTCACTCAGTGTGTACCCACCGTTTGACTCCCCATCTGCTTCTCTCAACCGAATGCTCAGCTGAGTGCCCCATCTGATGACGAGCGAACCCTCGCACGTTTGCAGGACCCCACCCCTTCCCCCGGTCCCCCGTCCCCACCGAGCCCTGTGCAGTTGGGTGGCGCCAGGCCTGCAGGTCAACCGCATGCTCACTCCCACTCATGATGCGGGCAACCCCTCCCATTTTTTGTCAGGGCCGCGCACACAGCTTCTCTGTCTCCTCCCCTCCCTTTCATCCCCCTTCCCTCCCCCCAACCACGGCTGGGTGGCACTAAGCTGCCAAGTCAATTGCATGCTAATCCGCCCGGCGTTCCGCCCCTTGAAGGACCATCACAGCATTCATTTTTTCTCTCTCCTCCCTCTCCCCTCCGTCTGCTTTCCTCCCCCCTTTCCTCCCTCGGCAGCTGGGTGGCGCTGGGCCAGCAGATCAACCGCATGCTCAATCCGCCTGACGATGAGCGAAGCCCCTCGCACCGGTCGGATGGCGACGATTTCTCGGATAATGATGACGATGACCTGGACGACGACGACGATGATGAGGATTTCGATGACGAGGACGACGGGAACGGTGACGAGGATGAGGAGGATGATGACGATGATTATGATGACGATGACGATGATGAGGAGGTGGACACAAGCATGGATGAAGGGGAGAGGATCCGGCAACAGCAACAGCAGGGGCAATGACACCCTTCCCCCCCTCACTCACCCTCTCTTTCCCCCTCATGCTCTCGGCCCACACTCTTACCTCCCTATTAACCCCCGTCAATGGTGTGACGGAACCACCGGTTGGCCACTAACATCTCCCCAATCTATCGCCAGTACGTTGGCTCCCCCAAGCCCCCTTCCCTGTAGCCTTAGCTCCATCTCTCGGCACCACCAGCCATACTGGCACCCCTGCAGCTGCTGCCCTCCCTGCCTTACCTGATAGCATGATGCAGTTGTGCACTGGTGAAGTGTATTTGCGTTTGTGCTTGCTGCAACTACTCGCTGCCTGCAAGCCAGATACCATATTAACGACAAGGCTTCATTGCTAGCTGATTTATGTGCTTATTTATTGATGTAGTTAAATGTCCCTAATGGGTTAGAGTCTCGACTTAGTATCTATGTACGCATTCTTGAATAAATTGGAGAGCACTTGACTTTCATCACTCCATAAAATTTTGAGCATTAATTCAGTGTTCTTTTGTAACATTTTACTGCTAGGGCGTGTTCCTACGCGACACAATTTCACGCAGTTCGCGTCAAAAGTAACAGGCAACACGATGAGCACGCCCTTACAGCTTTCCCCACATCAGCAGCGCAACGTTGTGTAGCCGTGTACAGTTCGTTCAGAATCGGGAACAGTTGCACGTCACGACAATGCCAGTCTCCCTTTAGCCATTTTCAAACCACCATCCGTTATTGTCCGTGATGCGTTCTTGTATTTTTCTATCGCCCTGACACCAGCGCTAGTGGACTCATGTGGCCAGTTGTCTACTGGTCGAGTCGCAGGCGATGCCTGGTTTCGGTGTTCTGGGCAGGTTGGAAACATTTCCACGGTGCAGCTTTTCCCACTAAGGACGTGGTGGCGCAATTTTGCGCTGGGACGTATACAAAGTCTCAGAATAGACGTAAGTTCTTTGGACAGAATTGAAATCAGCATCCCGACTGTCCAATTGGAAAACTTATATAAGCACGGAACTTATGTTTGATTATGACACTACTTGGCGCTACGCAGTTCTGACACGTCTGTTGTGGAGTATTGAAACGACAGAAACAAATAAGGCTCTGGTGCGCACTGATGCGCACCGGTCCGCGTGTGTCTACCACACCGTAAGCGTCAAACACACTGTGGTTCTTGTTCGGGCATCCAGGTGGGTGCCGTTTCTGTGTCGAACTCAACCCTTGCCAAGCAGATTCGTTCATTCCTGCCCGATTAGCACATCAGGACGTTGCCCCGTCGCAATCCTAAGGCGTGTCCAGCGCGTACGTTCACAGTACACGGATCACGTTTCAGTAGGATATATCACGATCCGGAGCGGTTCTCGCGCTTCACCACGTTGGAGCTCTGAAAACCGTATTAAGTAAATTGTAAACGTACGCGCTGGACACGCCCTAAATGCTGAGCATTTGCCCGATTACTGTACATTGCGCAACTGTACAGAACAGCGCTGAACCCGCTGGATACAGCAACAGTTCCCTTTTGTCACCCTGCTGTGGATCGTTCTTCTCTAGTGTGTCTGGTCCTTCTGGCCTTTGTCCTTCCTGCGCGTCGGGACTGTGCTGTACAGTACATGGGCTGTACTGTGCTGTATTGCATCTGTTGATTGCCCGAATCCAGTTGGTCCACTGCTCCGCTAGAAATGGCTGTGTTCCATGCAGACTGGAAGCCATTCCCTTGATCAAGTGCTCACTCAGCTGTGCCATTTCGTAGGTTGGTTTGGTCCTTGTACGGTCGGCTCAGTCCTTCGCATTGTCCTGTTGAAATCGAATCGCGCCCTCTCATTAGCATACGTTCGATAGTGCGCTCTCAAAACGTTGTCATCGCGTCGCGTTTAGTGGAGTGTGCGAAGAACCGACCTTATGCGTCGGTGCATTGCTGTGACGACATTGGATAAACAGATCTCTAACTGCTGGAGTTTGCAAACACATACTGTATGTATTGCCTCCTTCAGCAACCATAGACCCAGTTTTCTCCGTGCCACCACTCGCAAATCTGCTCCGCAAAGCAGCAAGAAGGCTTGTGTGTTCCGCTCGGGACATAGGGCCTCGCTTCTCGCCGCCCGTCACACCTGTTGCTTCATTACCCACGAGGCCAGCCGAGTTAGGTCCATCCCCGCGTCGCCTATTAGTAATATTCTCGCGGTGCGACCACCATGGAGATGAACGCGATGATGCCGCTGGTGTGCGGGTCCATCTTCCTCTTCTCGACGCTCGTGTCGTGCGTCGGAACGATGATCAGCGCAGGGGTGTTCGAGGAGTGCGCGCTGCCCTCGGTCAACCTGAACGCCGCGAAGCACTTCAACCCCGCGCGACTCAGCATACTGTGCCCGCCCGTTATGGAGGAGATGTCGAAGCTCGCCTACCATTGACCGACGGGCATGGCGGCGACCTCAGCGCGAAACGGCAGGATGGCCGTTAAGGTCGCCCTGTCATTGACCAGCTTCCACTGCCAGTGATAGTGTTTTCCCTGACTTTCCAAGCGCAGCGACACCATTTTCCATTGACGCGGATTATTCGCGTGCGTAACCGCGGACCGGGAACTTGTGTTTCAAAGTGAGGCGCGCATTCGCCTGAGCCGTGGTCATGCTCACAAGGGGACGTCGCGTGGGAGAGAACGGAACGAAGATCGCACCAACGCGAGGCTAGTGATTGAAATACGCCGTGGCTCATGAAACCCACGCGTGCAGGTCGTTGCTTGTGGTGCGACATGAATAGGGTGATATTCAGGCTGAGAAGTGTCCTCCTATCCACCTCTAATATACTAACAAAATGTGTTGCCCAAATTCAGTTCGTTTGGTTTCTGAAACCTACATACCCGAGCGAGGCTAGAGGATGCGTACTAGTAGATTTAGGGTTTCAGGCCGCATCGCAGCATGTTATGAATGGGACTGCTGAGTAGCGCGTAGGGCAATGGCGAAACTGTGAACGAGTGAATGACAATAAAATGAAAGAACAAATAGAAAACCTAGGGTGATCCTGGACGTAGGATCAGAAGGTTTGGGAAAAGTATCGAAGGGCCTCGATGTGTCGTAGCGAGGTCCGGGAAGGCCCAGGAGGCTCGAACTGATAGGTCTGGAACCCTGGCGATGGTTCGGGACTGTTCTAGTCGTACGCTCTGTAGCAAGCCTAAGTAAGGAATTCCTAATTCCTTACACTCTCCCCCCTTCTAGATAAGCACACCAATAAACAAAACACACACACTAATTGAATCTCCTCGTAGTGGAGACACCACTGTTGAGAATCTCGAGCTTCTTCAAGGAACCTCCATCCAACGATCGAAACGTGTCGAAACGATCGCCGTCGATCGTAGCCGTCGAATCTTGGTCGAATTACCCAGGTAACCAAACGGGCAGTAGGAATACTACCGCACCACAGCTTCCTTGTCTCCAGCGAATCTTTCGCCGAGAATTACAAACCCGTCGTCGTGTACTGTATCCGCATAGTAACACCGCGTTATTCGTCGTCGTTCTCCTTCTCTGCTACAGCTCTTCGTCGTTGACTTTTAGCGGTGACCCGGCGATGACACTTAAACTCGACCCGACGGTAGTTGTTGGTCATCCTCCGTAGATCGTGGGGCTAATTTTTCTGACCACGAAAATGGCTTCCTCCGCAGGAATCCAGACTTGCTGAGCTCGAAACTCCAGGGCAGACGAATTACACATCCAGGCGGGCAGGTCACGCGAAACAATTTCGAGGTCAGTACTCCCCGAAAATTTTCCGTGCCTGAGCCCCACGTGTGCTGCCGTGCGATCCTTGGTCGTGCCGAAAACTCCAACGCCGCGTTTGCTGAACAGTATCCTAAGTCCCGTCTTCAACTGCGTGTCGCCTGCCGGAAACGCCGAGCCTCGTAACGTCAGCTACACTTCACCATGCAGCCACGTCTGCTACACGCGCTCCTAACGAAACCCATTTCGCCTGGGGATATCCGCGAGCTTGTCGTCTCGTGACGAGCTCCTCGCTCCATCCGGACACCAATCCGAATCGTCGTTGCTACTTGCCGAAATTACCGAAACTGCAACCGAAGTCCTTCTCACGATATGCGAATTACACAACATACCGGAAACACTCTTCAAAATCTTCGCCATGTCATGACGGACACAACCGCCCTCGAGGGGATTGTTAACGTAGAAACGAATGATTACTAGAGGTGGAAACCTAGAACAAATACTAGTTGGTTGTACTCACTAGAAGCATACCTCAGTCTAGCCTATAACTTCTACATAGATAATATGTATAAGTTGACACACCCCCTAGGCTAGACAAGGGGTGAAACTAAACAAGAAGCAAACAGCTCAGGGCGGCACTACTAGTCCAACCACTGAGGCAGGGGTCTGGAGACCAGTCAGCAAGAATACAACCAAAACTGAAGCAAGCCAGGGTGGCACTACTAGTCCAGCCACTGGAGGTAAGGCCACAAGGCCAGTCTGACAAGCATATATAATAGAGAGTACACAATCAGGATCCTAACAGGGGAGCAGCTACAGGAACAAGACCAAGCTGTACACAGTGCCGCTGATGATCTTTAGGCGCAAGCGCCTTAGTAAAGATATCAGCTGTGTTGGCACCTGAGGCCAAGTGAACTACGCGGGCCTGGCGGCGCTGCTGTAGCTCGCGCAGGAGGAAGTACCGCAGCTGGATATGCTTCGCTCTGCCCTCAAGCCGAGGCTCCTGACACAGGAGTATCATGGCCCTGTTGTCAGCGTACAGGACCGGGGCAGAGCTAGGCCGCTCACCTAAGTCTGTGAGCAAGAAGGTCAGCCAGCGGAGCTCCTGTGCCGCCATGGCACCAGCGTAGATCTCAGCCTCACAGCTAGACTGAGCCACAGACGACGAGCGAGTGGATCTCCAAGAGATAGCACCCGAACCAAGGCTGAAACAGTAGCCCTGCGACGACCTGAGCGTCTCAGCGTCGTCTGCCCAAGAAGCGTCTGTGTGCCCAGTAAGGACCACTGGCCTGCGTCCTCCTAGCACTAACCCCATGCCTGATGTACTAGCAAGATAACGCAAAACCCTCTTAGCGGCAGACCAGTGCTGAGGTCGGTGTCTGCCTGTAGCCACAAAGCGAGCCAGGATGCTGAGAGGGTATGCGAGATCTGGGCGAGTGCAAGTCATCAGGTACATGAGGCAACCCACCAGCTCTGCGTAGGGGCCACTGGGCTCTACTGGCTCCTCAGGAACGGGAGCAGAGAGCCCATGGTCTACGGGTAGAGGTGTGGGCTGTGCAGAGGAGAACTGAAGACCGAACCTCTGAAGGACCTGACGCACCAAGTGTGACTGGGTCAGAGTGATGGTGCGTGCTGCTCTGTCCCTAGAGATCTGCAGGCCAAGATAGCGACGCAGCTCTCCAAGGTCAGTGCAGGTGTGTCTCTTCAGCAGCTCAGCCTTCACAGAGGCCAGTGCGTCCCTGTCAGGAGTAGCGAAGACCAGGTCGTCTACGTAGACAAGGATGTAGAACGGAGTCTGGCCGGAACGCACAAACAGTGAAGGGTCAGCAGAGGACGGAAAGAACTGCAGGTCTGCTAACGTGGCACGTAGCGTGTCGTGCCACTCGCGGGGAGCCTGACGCAGGCCGTAGACCGGGCGCCTGAGAAGCCACTGGGTCCCAGGAGGGAAGGTACCAGTGAAGCCCTGTGGTCGGCGCAGGTAGACCTGCTCGTGTAGGCTGCCCTGAAGAAAGGCAGTAGAGAAGTCGAGGGAGTGAAGCTCGTAGTCACGCTGTGCTGCTACGTGTAGCAGCGCCCGAAGAGTGGTCATCTTCGGGGTCGGGGCGAAGGTCTGGAAGAAGTCAACCCCCTCGCGCTGACTGAAACCTCTGGCCACGTAGCGCGCCTTGAAGACAGGCGGCTCTCCAGGGGGGCGCTTCACCTTGAAGAGCCACCGACCATCGACTACGTTCACCCCAGGCGGGGGAACTGCGTCGACGTAAGTGCCGGTGGATCTCCAAGATGCCATCTCCTGCTCCATGGCAGCTATCCACTGAGAGGCCCAAGGTCCCGAGGTGGCCTCAGCGTAGGTGCGAGGGGTCGGGATGTCGAAGGCGTCTGGGTCACCCTCAGGGACTAACAGCATGGAGCAGAGATGGGGAGCAGCCTCGGAAAGGAAAGCCAGCTCGTACTGCCTGTCCTCTAGGACGTCACTGCCAAGGGCAGGAGCACCCCCGACGGACAGAGGACGGGCAGGGTCAGAGACCAGAGCGGTAGCGTAGTCAAGGCGGCGGGTAGAGGCGAAGTCAGCGACAGCAGCGACAAGCGCGTCAAGGCGCGAGACAGGAACAGCAGGGTCGGTAACAAGAGAGGCAAGGACCCGAGGGACAAGGGGACGAGCAGCACGGAGGTAGTCAGAGAACGAAGGAGGTGCAACAGCAAGGGACGAGGGAGGAGGGGACGGGAGGAGGGGAGGACGAGACGAGTGGGAACGGAGCAACATAGGGTGGGTGGGCAGGACAGGAGAGACGGGACGAGCACGGGAGGGACGGCGAGCCCAAACGTGAGACGGAGGGGTAGGGTCAGGGGACAGCGGAGGAGACACAGGAGGGGAACGAGGAGGAAGACGGGCCGGAGACGAGTCTGGCGGCGGGAACACAGGACCGTAGACAGGAAGGTCAGGAGGCGGTGGGGGAGACACCGGCGCGCGGTCCGGGGAGGGAAGGCCGAGCAGGCGGAGAGCGGAAACCGGCGGCGACGGCTGCTGCGGCGGCGACGACGGCTGGGCCGGAACTCTCGGACCAGCAGAGGCAGAACGACCGTCGGCAGAACACTCAACAGCAGCACCCCCAGAACCAACACCCCCAGAGCGAGAACCCCCTCCAACACCAGCGGCACCCCCAGAAGCCGCAGGACGAACACCCTCCTCCACACCAGCACCCCCAGGGGCCGAGAGCAGCGGCGGCAGTGGCGGCAACGGCTGCGGCGGCGGCGACAGCGGCGACGGCTGCGGCAGCGACAGCGGCGGCGGCGGCGACGACAGCGGCGACGGCTGCGGCGGCGACGGCGACGGCGGCGGCAGCGGGGTCGGCGACTGCGACAGTGGGGGCGGAGGCACCGGGGAAGGGGGACGCTGCAAGGACGGACCGGGGGAACCACCAGAGTCAGCAGACTCCTCAACGGGGACAACCGACGGGAGGGGAGTGACGTGGGAGACACCAGACGGGGCAGGACGAGGCGGGAGAGGGGCAGGGGCTACCGGGGGAGAGGGAGCAAGGAAAAGGGGGGGGGCAACTGGGAGACCTCGGTGAGGGAAGCGGCGGTAGAAGGAGACGGACTCGTCAAAGGTGACGTCACGAGAGTGGAGGAAGCGGTGAGACGGCGGGTGGTAGAAAAGCCAGTCAGACGAGTCCAGGGGGAAACCGAGGAAGACACAGGGGACAGTGCGGGCAGTGAGCTTGTCCGTGCCAGAGGCACGAACGTGAGCAAGGCAGCCCCAGACGTGGAACGCAGACGCGTCACCGGGGGACCCGGTCCAAAGGAGGGTCGGCGAAACCTGCGGCCGCTGGGAGCGTGGCCACAGGTTAAGCTGGTGAGCCGCGTAGCGAACAGCGAACGGCCACAGAAAATGGGGGGCATCGGCATGGATCATGGAGGTACGGGCGACCTCCATGACCAAGCCGATGCGGCGCTCAGCAACCCCATTCTGCTGTGGCGAGTCCGGCAACGTGTACGACTGGGTGATGCCCTCCGCACGACAGAACTGTCCAAGCCGACCAGAGGCGAACTCGCCGCCACGGTCGGAATGGAGACACAACACGGGGAGACCGCGGTGGAGACGCGCAGCCACAACCCACGGGAGAAGAACGTCGGGCACGTCGGCCTTCCGCTCCAGGGGAAACACCGTGGTGTAGCGCGTGTAGTCGTCGACGAGCACAAGGAAGTAGCGCTCACCGCGCGGTCCGGGGACGGGGGCAGGGCCCCAAACGTCCAAGTGCAGGGTCTGAAGGGGGGCAGTAGCAGGACGCAGCGAGGAGGAGTGAGGAGCACGGCGGAGCCGACCCTCGACGCAAGGCGTGCACGGTGGCGCAGTCGAGGGAGGAAGGGCAGGGAGCGACGCGGGGAGACCTAAGACAAGACCGTGCTGGGACATGTGACGCAGACGCGGGAGAGCAGGGTGACCTAAGCGGTGGTGCCAGAGAAGGGAGGGGTGAGTGAGGGACCGACACGAGCAAGCTGCAGCGACCTGGGAGGACGCACCAACCGGGGGGGAAGCGGTGTGTAGGGTAAACAGACCGGACACCGGGTCCCGGGGGAACGTCGCAAGGGGGGAACCTGAGACAGCCTCAGAACAGACAGCGAACCGCTCGTGCCCGGGGAACGTGGTGGTGACGCCGAGGTCCTGGAGACAGCCGACACCAACCAGGTTCCTGGAGAACGAGGGAACGTGGAGGCCAGTAAGGGAGCCCGAGGGAACTGCCGGACAAGGAAGGGACGTAGAACTGCGCGCGACGACCGGACCCGCAGAGGGGTCAGCGAGAGAGACAACAGCAGGTGCAGCAAGCGGCGTGAGCGTGGAACGGTCGCGGAAGAAGCAGGCAGAAGCACCAGAGTCGAGAGTGAAGGACAGCGACGCAGTGGCGGAGGCCGGGGACGGAGCCGGTGCAGCGACTAGACTAGGCAACCTAGACAGTCCTACGCCTGTCGCAGCAGGGGAAGCTAAGCTACACAAGGGTGAAACACCTAAACTAGAGTACACAGGGTAGTAAGATCCAGCAACACTAGAAGCGTCAGCATACAAAGCATGCAAAGCAGCACCTATCTGATCCATGTCTAACTCAAAGATCGGCACGCCCTGGCGGAGTAGGCTGTGCCAGTCAGGGAGGTCCGGGGCCGGGCCAAAGCGACGACGAAAAAGATCGTCGAGGCGGCGGAAACAGCGGGCGGTCGGGTGCGGGCGGCGGCACAGAGTGCCGCGGAGAGGCCCGGTCTGAAGCTGGTACTGGCAGGTCACAGCACTGGAGCCGCTGGTAGACGCCAAGCTGCGCGGGCCGCCACCACGGCCACCGCCTCCGGAGGTGCCGGGCCAACCAGGCGGGAGACGAGCCCACGGCTGCGGCGGGTGCTGCTGGGACGGCGGCTGCGGCTGGGGCTGGTCCTGCTGCTGCTGGGGCTGCTGCTCCTGCCCACCGGTGGTAGTCCCCTCAGGCGGACTACCGTCACCACCACCACGACCACTACCACCTGCGTCACCACCCCTACCTCCCTGGCGGCCACGGCCACCGCGACGCGAGCGCTGCTGCGGGTGGACAGCAGCAGCCGTCTCGGTAAGAGGGGTCGCCGTGGCGACCGCAGCCGAAACGTCAGTGAACGTGCACTGGGATGGGGCACAGCCGTGAAAGATAGAGACTGCCGGCGCACCGCTCGACTGAGCGATAGTGCGCTGGCGAGTCTCGATCTCAGTGAGGGTGTCGACAAAGGCGATCAGGGTGAGGTCACCCGGGTGCTGGCTAAGAAAGTGGTCGCGAGCACTAGCGAGGCGGTCTGGCAGGTGCATAGCGATAAAATAGAGCGTCATGCAGAAAGGAGGGGGGAGCGCAGTGAGCTGGGCAGCAGTGCTGGCAGTGCGATAGCGAGTCTCTAGGGCACGCAAATGAGTGGCAAAGTCTGCGACAGTAGGGAAGGCAGCCAGGTCTGGGAAAAGCATCGGAAAGAGCAAGCGGCCAGCAGAAGCGGAGGCAGGGGTGGAATAGCGAGCAATAACGGCGTCTAAATAAGCTTTGGCCGTTTCAACAGTAGCAAAACGCGAGCGCTCAGACACAGGGAGGGCGTGACTAATAGCAACCTGAGCTACTGCATCGCGTGAGTCCCAGACCGCACAGGCCAGCGCAGCAGTAGAGAAAGCCTCACGGTCATCAGAGGAGGGGTCAGCAGGGAGGGGAGTAGGTGCAGGGGGACGGGGGAGCAAGCCATCAGCATGGACAACCAGAGAGTGGCCATCCTGGCGCTGACCTGTAAGCTGGCGGCGGAGATCGGAGAGCCAGGCGGCGAAGTCAACCGCGTGGCCCTCAGCGTCCAGGCGGAGCACAAAGTCAGCCATCGTGCAGGGTCAGCGGCACAGCTCCTCAGCGACACAGCGGCACAGCAGCACAGCTCCTCAGCGGCACAGGAGCACAGCGGCGCGGGGACACGGCGGCAGCACTCTCCAGTAGGGCAGCAGCTAGGCGTCCCAGCGCATGCGAGCAGAAGACACAGGGCCCGAGAGGACACGGCAGGCCGAGCAGGGGAGGCGGGCAGGTGCTCTGGGGCCGGGCTGGTGCTGGGAGGGGCCAGGCTGGTGCTGCTGGGGCCGGTCGGGCACGAGGAGGGGCCGGGCAGCGCTGAGGAGAGGCCGGGCGGCGCTAGGAAGGGGCCGGGCGGCACTAGGAGGAGGCCGAGCGGCACTAGGAGGCCAGGCAGGCGAGCGCTAACAGCAGGCGCGACAGGGGCCAGCGGGCGCGACGAGGCCTAAGGGGCGCGACGGGGCCCAGCGGGCACGACGGGGCCCAGGGGGGGCGCGACGGGGCCGAGGAGGCGCGACGGGGACCAGCGGGCACGACGGGGCCCAGGGGGGCCGCGACGGGGCCTAGCAGGCGCGACGGGGCCTAGGAAGCGCGAAGGGGCCCAGCGGGTGCGACGGGGCCTAGGAGGCGCGACAGGGCCCAGCGGGCGCGACGGTGCCCAGAGGGGGCGCGACGGGGCCTAGGAGGCGTGACGGGGCCCAGCGGGCACGACAGGGCCTAGGAGGGGCGCGACGGGGCCGAACGGGCGCGACGGGGCCCAGAGGGGGGGGACGCGACGGGGCTTAGGAGGCGCGACGATGCCTAGGAGGCACGACGGGGCTCAGCGGGCTCGACGGGGCCCATGGGGGGCGCGACGAAGCCTAGGAGGCGCAACGGGGCCCAGCGGGGGCGCGTTAGGGCCTAGGGGTCGCGACGGGGCCCAGCGGGCGCGACGGGGCCCAGGGGGAGCGCGACGGGGCCTAGGAGGCGCGACGGGGCCCAGCGGGCACGACGGGGCCCAGGGGGGGCGCGACGGGGCCTAACGAGCGCGACGGGGCCCAGGGGGGGCGCGACGGGGCCTAGGGGGCGCGACGGGGCCTAGGAGGCGCGACGGGCGGAAGCGGTAGGCGGGGGGATCCTAACCTAAGCGTGATACCATGTTAACGTAGAAACGAATGATTACTAGAGGTGGAAACCTAGAACAAATACTAGTTGGTTGTACTCACTAGAAGCATACCTCAGTCTAGCCTATAACTTCTACATAGATAATATGTATAAGTTGACAGGGATGGCCGAGCGAATCCTGCTCGTCCCTTGGGGTCGGATCCACTGTCGTTAGAAGATTACGCAGACGCAGTTGTTGAAGCATATCATATCATGCTTCAGGACAACCGCTGTGCCTTATGTAGCGCCATCCGCCTTCTCCCCCTCCCAAAAAAAAATTGCCCTCAGAAGCCCTGCGGGTGAGGAAAGTGGCTCTGAATACCAAGTGTTATGAATGGGACTGCTGAGTAGCGCGTAGGGCAATGGCGAAACTGTGAACGAGTGAATGACAATAAAATGAAAGAACAAACAATATATAGAAAGCCTAGGGTGATCCTGGACGTAGGATCAGAAGGTTCGGGAAAAGTATCGAAGGGCCTCGATGTGTCGTAGCGATGTCCGGAAAGGCCCGGGAGGCTCGAACTTATAGGTCTGGAACCCTGGCGATGGTTCGGGACTGTTCGAATCGTACGCCCTGTAGCAAGCCTCAGTAAGGAATTCCTAATTCCTTACACAGCATCTGGGGTTGTTACAAGAAACAACCATTCATCTAGAAAAATGGATGGAAATAAAGACGGGCAGAAGGCCGTAACTGAACCCTTATTTGCTGGCGAAAATAGCCAGGAGTTCAGACGAAGAGCAGACTATCGCGAACAATTACTCAGGCAATTCTCACCGACTGTGCGGGTTTCGATATTGCATTCAGTAAGGGCTGACCTTGGTGACACTTGATCGTGACGAGGAATTCTAGAGTATGACCGAGCATTGCTAAAGAAGCTCCCTTATGAAGAAATTATTCATGGGCTTTTGTACAAAATGCATATAAGTAACCAGCCAATGGCCCTGAAGTCAGGTAGAATAATATTAATCAGGTAAAACTGAGCACGAAACTCACTCTGGTATGGTAAGAATGTTCTGTGGCCTTCAATGAAAGCACAATGACTGGCTATTTTGGGGGATAAATGCTGCCGCACGTGGCAGGTACGAAAACCTAGGTTACGTTAGTTAAATCAGTGAGTGGCAGGTCTGGTTTGGTTTGGTTTGGGTTGGTGTCAATCCATGCCTCAGGTGGGGGGGGAGCGTGTCTGTTCTTGAGGCACGTCAAGGCTCTGGCGCCATTTCTGGGGCAGCGGGGAGGAAGGAGGGGGTTGGATGGAGAGGTGAGCCATGAGAGGGAAGGCAGGCTGGAAGCGAGATGGGGAGAAGATACGTAGGAATGTATCAACAGGTGGGGCTTGGGGGGAGATTGAGTGGTGCTGGGGGTAGATTGAGAGGTAGCGAGGATAGGGGAGAAAGGAGCACAGAACACGAGAGAGATGAAGGGTGATGCCTTGAAAATATACCCTGGCGAAGCCGCTTATCATTCGTCGCTAAATGGAATTTCAACATTGTTCATTCCCTTAGAATGGCATTACGTTGTAAATCGCTTTCGCAGGGTGTTACATGGTCCATTACCTTCGCAGCAAGTGACATTGTTCACTCCCTTACCAGGATGTTACATTGTTCATTCCCTTAACAGGGCGTTACAGTGTTCATTCCCTGAACAGCGCATTACATTGTTCATTACCATAGCAAGCTCCTGCACTCTCCACACATCCTGCTCATCCATCCCTTTGCCTAAAGAAAACTTTTCCAGCCTGCCCGTACCTCCCCCAGACCACCACTCGCTCTAAAAAGCATGCCTCCACACACGTGCACACGCCAGTATGCCTCCACATGAGTGCACACGCCCGCATGCCTCCACATACGTGCACACGCCAGCATGCCTCCACATACGTCCACACGCCAGCATGCCTCCACATACGTGCACACGCCATCATGCCTCCACATGCGTGCACACGCCAGCATGCCTCCACATACGTGCACACGCCAGCATGCTTCCACATGCATGCACACGCCAGCATGCTTCCACATGCATGCACACGCCAGCATGCCTCCACATACGTGCACACGCCAGCATGCCTCCACATACGTGCACACGCCAGCATGCCTCCACATGCGTGCACACGCCAGCATGCCTCCACATGCGTGCACACGCCAGCATGCCTCCACATACATGCACACGCCAGCATGCCTCCACATGCGTGCACACGCCAGCATGCCTTCACATGCCAGCATGCCTCCACATACGTGCACACGCCAGCATGCCTCCACATACGTACACACGCCAGCATGCCTCCACATGCGTGCACACGCCAGCATGCCTCCACATGCGTGCACACGCCAGCATGCCTCCACATACGCGCACACGCCAGCATGCCTCCACATAGGTGCACACGCCAGCATGACTCCACATACGTGCACACGCCAGCATGCCTCCACATACGTGCACACGCCAGCATGCCTCCACATACGTGCACACGCCAGCATGCCTCCACATGCGTGCACACGCCAGCATGCCTCCACATGTGTGCACACGCCAGCATGCCTCCACCTACGCGCACACGCCAGCATGCCTCCACATAGGTGCTCACGCCAGCATGACTCCACATATGTGCACACGCCAGCATGCCTCCACATACGTGCACACGCCAGCATGCCTCCACATACGCGCACACGCCAGCATGCCTCCACATAGGTGCACACGCCAGCATGACTCCACATACGTGCACACGCCAGCATGCCTCCACATACATGCACACGCCAGCATGCCTCCACATACGTGCACATGCCAGCATGCCTCCACATACGTGCACACGCCAGCATGCCTCCACATACATGCACACGCCAGCATGCCTCCACATACGTGCACATGCCAGCATGCCTCCACATACGTGCACACGCCAGCATGCCTCCACATAGGTGCACACGCCAGCATGCCTCCACATGCGTGCACACGCCAGCATGCCTCCACATACGTGCACACGCCAGCATGCCTCCACATGCGTGCACACGCCAGCATGCCTCCACATTCGTGCACACGCCAGCATGCCTCCACATGCGTGCACACGGCAGCATGCCTCCACATACGTGCACACGCCAGCATGCCTCCAAATGCGTGCACACGCCAGCATGCCTCCACATACGTGCACACGCTAGCATGCCTCCACATGCGTGCACACGCCAGCATGCCTCCACATACGTGCACACGCCAGCATGCCTCCACATGCGTGCACACGCCAGCATGCCTTCACATACGTGCACACGCCAGCATGCCTCCACATACGTGCACATGCCAGCATGCCTCCACATAGGTGCACACGCCAGCATGCCTCCACATATGTGCACCTGCCAGCATGCCTACACATACTTGCACATGCCAGCATGCCTCCACATACGTGCACATGCCAGCATGCTTCCACCTTTACCCTAACCAAGGGCCTAACCCTACCCCAGTGCCTCTGTAAGCGTTAAGCCCCAAACCCGAACCCCCTGTTTCACAAGCCTAAGCCCTCAACCTTACACCCTACACCCTAACCCCTTACCTCCACAGGCCACGGAGCGCCAGATGGCTGAGGCTGACCGTTGCCACACCTCCATCACCTCCTCCTCCGTCTGCCGTGAGGGGGGAAGAGGGGGTTGGGGAAGGAGGACATCAAGGTGCAAACATGGAGGGTGAAAAACAACCCATGAGGCTATCCGCTGCTATGCCTCCATCACCTCCTCACCCGTGTGGTGTGAGGGGCCGGACAGAACGAGGACGCTTCAAAAGCAAGGTGGAAATTGGAAGTCAGGGTGAAGGGGGGGGGGAGCACGTGAAGACACTGAGAGCTGCCCCGTTCACAGGGTAAATTCCGCATTCATCATCGCAAACCCCTTCCTCCCCCCCTCACCTCGCAGTGCTCCTGCAGCCGCCCCCGCTTTGGCCTGGCCCAGCTCCACAGCCGCAAAGCCGCCTGCCTTCATCGCCTTCTCCTCGCCCTTGCTTACCTCTCCCTCTTCGCGCACCTACCTTGCCTCCCACCCCTCCCTCACCTCGCACTGCTCCTGCAGCTGCTCCCGCTTTGGCATAGCCCAGCTCCACAGCCTCAAAGCCACTTTCACCGCCCGGCTCTGCTGTTCTGGAGTGGGCTCCCCGCCTGGAACAGGGAGGGCGAGGGGGGATGGGTAAGGGCGAGAGAAGGGGTGTGTGAGGAGAGCGCAAGGCCGCCTGCTCCGCCCTGGAGCTGGGCCATGCACCACCTGCACTGCCCTGCCCTGCTGCTCGGGCATGGGCTCCCCGCCTGGAGTTAGGGATAGGGGGGGAGGGTTCGACGGGGGGGGGGGGGGGGAGGGGGGTGTACGAAGGGGGGAGTGAGAGAAAGGGGCATCGCCAGCTTCAGAGCCTAGGAGCCACCTGCGCTGCGCGGCTCTGCTGCTCAGGCGTGGGCTCCCTGCTGGCCAGGGATGGAGGGGGGGGCAATAGGGGAGGACGGAGGGACGAGGGGGGCATGATCTCCCATGGCCTTGGCACCACCTGCAGCGCCCTTCTTTGCTGCTCGTTTTGAGGCGCCTCAAAACTAGACTCCTACCACGAGGGCAGCACGACCTCACACGGCCTTGGCACCACCGGCACCGCCCTGCTCTGCTGCTCTGCCGTGGGCTCCCCGCCTGCAAGCAAGGGGAAGGGAAAGGGCGGGACGGGGTTGGATGGGTGAGAGGGGAGGGAAGGAGAGGAAGGAGTGGAGAAAAAAGGTATGGGCTTCAAAGCCTTAGCCCCACCTGCAGCGCGTGGATCTGCTGGTCAGGGCGAAGGGGGGGCGGGGGTAGGGGGGGTGGTGGTGGAGGGGGGGGGTTTGAGAGAGGGGGGGGAAGCGCGGGAGTGGGCTCTGTGCGCTTACAGCAGCGGCAAACGCACAGGGCTCTGCTGGTGAGAGTGGGGTCCGTGAGAGGTGGGGAGTGGGCGAGTAATTTGGAGTTAGGAGGCAAAAGTAGGGAGACGGGAGGAAAGGCAGGGGTGAAGGGGGGTGGGAGAGATTTGGTAGAGGCAACTCACAATCTTCTATGAGCAACTCACACTCTTCTATGAGCAACTCACACTCTTCTATGAGCAACTCACACTCTTCTATGAGCAACTCACTCTTCTATGAGCAACTCACACTCTTCTATGAGCAACTCACACTCTTCTATGAGCAACTCACACTCTTCTATGAGCAACTCACACTCTTCTATGAGCAACTCACACTCTTCTATGAGCAACTCACACTCTTCTATGAGCAACTCACACTCTTCTATGAGCAACTCACACTCTTCTATGAGCAACTCACACTCTTCTATGAGCAACTCACACTCTTCTATGAGTGACAGCAGCTTCGCGACAAACCCCGCCACCCCTCCGCCGCCCTGCACGGGCCACCAGTTGCCGGTCGGCAGCGCCATGCGGGCGGCAACTGCGAGCGAGACGTCGATCCATTCGTCGACTTCTGGGTCGAGGATGTCCAGCAGCGACTGGGCGGCATCGTCGCCGGGCGGCAGGTCCTGTAGCAGGCCGGCCAGGCCCCAGTCAAAGACGGATGAGACGGTGGCGCTGCTGCACGTGCCATCCTCCTCTAGCTCCTGACGGGGGGAAGGCGGGGGGGGAGGGGAAGGGGGGAGGGGAAAGGGGAGGGGAAAGGGAGGGCGAAGGGGAGGAGAGAGAGGAGAGTTGAGGAGTGGAAGTGATTCCAGGCAGCTCAAAGCACTGGTGCATGCACGTGCCGGCAAGGCCCCAGACAGAGACAGACTCTTGAGGCGCCTCTAAGTTGGAATCCCGAGTCAGAGAGAGATAAGGCGATTGAGGAGTGGGCGTGATTCTAGGTCCTCCCAGACAAAGACAGGTCGAAAGTTTCGACCAATTCCTCATTTCTACCTGCCCAGGGCTGTCCTAAGCTCGATCCGCCAGCCCGCACCCAATTTCCGCAGTATTTTTTAGGAACCCGCGATTTTAGGTTAGGGACCTAATTTTCACCCGTTCAGCCATAAATCTAGTGTGGTTTAGGCGTTTTTTGGGTTTCGCACACCTAAGTTGCAATAACCGCGGTTTGCGGTTTAACTGCCAGCGGTTAACTGCATGCGGTTAACCGCAAACCGCACGAGGTCGGGTGGGAAAACAGCTCCAAAACCACGGTTTCGGGCAGCTGAAAAAAACCAGCGGACGGTTGTGCAGAACCGTGATTCGCCCCTCGGGCTCGGGCCGGCCCAAGCCCATGCCTGAGCCCGAAGGCGGGCCTTACCCCGAGCCGCCATGTACCCACAGGCCACGGGCCTGCCTCGAGGCTGGGCCGGCCCGAGGCCTCACCTGTGAACATGTGGCATGCCTACCCATCCCCCTTATAAGCTGACTCATGTCGTAACTGAACCAAATGGAGAGGCTCCGTATGCACTGGATCCCCCTTCACAGCAGTATTGAATGATAAACCCACCCATCCCCCTTATAAGCCGACTCACATCGTAGTTGAACCAGATGGAGAGGCTCTGCATGGTATGCAGCAGGCGTGGCAGGTCGTACTGGCGCTCCACCACGCGCCCTATGCGCACCCACATGGGCCACCCCACCTCCACCCCCGGGTCGTCCATCCCCTCCACCCGTGCCACCGCCCTCTCTTGCATCTCCTCCGCCTCGCCCTCGCCCAGCCACTTGGTGAGCAGCACCTGGGGGAATGGAAAACGAGCAGGGAGATAAAGGGAGATGAAGGGGAGTGAGCGCGCGAGAGAAGCAGACAAGCCCACCCCACCTCCACGCCCGGGTGGTCTGTCCCCTCCACCCGTTCCACTGCCCTCTCCTCCATTCCCTCCACCTCCCCTTCGCCTAGCCACTTTGTCAGGTGGACCTGAAGACAAAAACGCAAATAAGGTGCACGGACGGACAGAGAAGGGAGTGAGGGACGCGCAGCCATTAAGCGTTAGGGTGGGCTGCAGCGAAGAGGAAAAACTTTAGCAAAAAGAGTGACAGTAGGTAAATTAATACCCCTGTTAAAAACCGAGAATTCGAAGTTCCGAACTCAACTCCACGAGAAGATTAAAACGCAAAACAATAATGGCTACAATAAGGTGCACGGACGGACAGAGAAGGGAGTGAGGGACGCCAATACAGCCACCCCACCTTCATGCCTGAGACATTCATACCCTCCACCCCTGCCATCGCCCTCTCTTCCCTCTCTTCCCTCACTTCCCTCTCTTCCCTCTCTTCCCTCTCTTCCCTCTCTTCCCTCCCTTCCCTCCCTTCCCTCCCTTCCCTCCCTTCCCTCCCTTCCCTCCCTTCCCTCCCTTCCCTCCCTTCCCTCCCTTCCCTCCCTTCCCTCCCTTCCCTCCCTTCCCTCCCTTCCCTCCCTTCCCTCCCTTCCCTCCCTTCCCTCCCTTCCCTCCCTTCCCTCCCTTCCCTCCCTTCCCTCTCTTCCCTCTCTTCCCTCTCTTCCCTCTCTTCCCTCTCTTCCCTCTCTTCCCTCTCTTCCCTCTCTTCCCTCTCTTCCCTCTCTTCCCTCTCTTCCCTCTCTTCCCTCTCTTCCCTCTCTTCCCTCTCTTCCATCTCTTCCACCTCTTCCACCTCGCCCTCGCCCAGCCATTTCGTGAGCAGCACGTGGGGGCATGGAAAACGGGCAGGGGGGTGAAGGGGAGCGAGCGGGTGAGTGGGAGAAACAGACAAGCCCACGCAGCAGCCCGTGCCCCCCAGGGGTGCTGCAAGCAAGCAGCGGAGTCGACGGTGCACAGCCACATACAACACAACCAATACATGCACACACCCGGGCGCAGAGATTCAGCTCCCTCTCCTCAATGGGCGCCCCGCGGCTGTTGATGCGCATGAAGCTGAGGAGCAGCTCGAACGCCCACAGGTGCTGCCTGCGCATCCCCATGGCATGCTGGTAGGAGTAGCACACCAGCGCACATACCTGAGCACATAGGTTCAGCTCTCGTTCTTCCATGGGCGCCCCTCGACTATTAATACGCATGAAGTTGAGCAGCAGCTCGTACGCCCACGGGTGCTGCCGGCGCATGACTTCGCTCCTCAACATGGCGTCCACAAACTCCGCCACATACGAGTTCTGCTGCGACGTGCGCGGCGTCATGAACACCGCGCTTGATGGCTTGCTGCCTCCGCCCATGCCTCCGCCCATGCTTCCGCCCATGCCTCCGCCCATGCCCCCTCTCATACCCCCTCCCGCCCCACCTCCTGTCCCCCATGTGCCAGCAGCAGCAGAGGCACCAGGGGAAAGGGCGTCACTCCCGCTGCTCCCTCTGCCTCCCCCCAGCCATAGTGTTGGAATATCGCTCCTCCCCCTGGTGTGCCCAGGGCCGGATCTACCTCCACCAGGTGCCACCTCCCCACCCTCCTGCCCCTCTACTGCTGCCCCTTCACTCAGCCATGTACCTGCCTGCCCTTCACTCCCTCCCCGCCTCCTCCCCTCCCTCACTGCCCCATCACCAGGACTAGCACCAGCGCCACTCGTACCACCACCACCACCACCACCACCACCACTATCGACCGCACTACCAACACCCGTAGAGCCATCAGCGCCAGCAGAACCAGCAGCTCCTGAGCCACCACCTGCGGCACCACCTGAGCCTCCACCTGACTCTGCACCTGAGCCAGCACCACCCGCTGCAGCCCCTGCTCTGCCCGCTGTCCACAAGCCACTCACTGCCCCTGCTGCCGAGCCTTTCCCCGAGCCTGCTGCCGAGGCTGCAGCTCCGGCACTGGCTTGCGAGGCGAGAGCAGAGCCCCAGCTAGAGGCAACTGCAAAGGCAGCAGCAGCCCATCCAGGGGCAGAGGCAGAGAGAGAGGGGGATCGGGAGGGGGAGGGGGCAGTAGAAGCAGAGAGAGCAGGGGAGGAAGTGGGAGAGGGGGAGTGGGGATGGGAGGTGGTGGTGGTCTTGGTTGCTGCTGCTGCTGCAGGGGAGGAAGTATCTGGTGAAGGTAAAACTGGCTTGGGATCACCATCCTGGCATGCCGACCCACCTACACTGCTGCTCGCCCCTGCACCCTTTCCCCCTCCACCCCCTTCCCCTACCACTTTCCCCCCCATGCTAGGTGACGACAGGGGCGAATGGTAAACCCCATCCCCCGGCCCCGGCCCAACCCCCGACCCCCAGAACTGTGCCGTCTTAACCGCAGCAGCCAGCCTAGCAAACCTCATAGTAACCGACTCCACCCCTCTCCCAGTAAACACCATCCCGATCACCCGATCAAACCCAGCTGCCTTCAACCTCCCACTGGAAACCGCCCGTAGGGCAGCATGGAACGCGGCCTCATCTAGAGCCAGTTCCTGGGCTAGACTCGCAATTGCCATGCTGTCATCCGGGTGTAAATGCTGGAGTTCCCTCATGGTAGCCGCCAGGGTCATTCCCAGCAGGCCCGGGCCGAGGCTGAGCTGCAGGTACAGCCGATCCTGCTCCTCGCACCGCTCCTCCAGGCTCGAGTGCTTGGCGGCCGCCAGGCCTTCGGCTAGAGCCACCTCTGCCATGGCTGCGAGGGACATGGGCTCCCAGTCCCGCGGCTTGCGAGGGGTGTGCGTGGAGGAGAGGGGCGAGTGCGAGAGGGGCGAGTGGGAGAGGGGCGAGTGGGAGAGCGGACAGGAGGGAGGACGGTTGGGGTGGAGTGTGGAGTGGTGGTGGGGGGTTTGGATCGGCGGGGTTCCTATGATGGTGGCCACAGGAGTGGCAGCGGCACCAGAAGCAGCAACGCCGCCAGAAAGACTAGGCATGGTCCACGCACCCCTGTGTGGCTTACTCTCACCACCCTTCCTAGCCCTCCTTCCTCCCTGCCTCTCCACACCCTCCTCATCCCCTCCCTCCCTCTCCTCCTCCCCATCCTCCTCCTCCTCCTCCCCTTCCTCGCCCTCCTCCAACCGCCCCTCGCCCTCCCCGCCCTGCCACAGCATCAGTCGCTGCACTGCCGGCGTGGAGGCCGCTACAGCCGCTGCGGATCGCTCGCTACAGGCGGTTAGGATAGCGGACAGGCACGACACCACAAAGGCGCGGCACGCAGGCAGATGCGCGCCTAGCAACGGCGCCCAGGACCTGCTAGTGCTGGTACCGGTGTTGCTGTTGCTGGGGTGCTGCAGGTTTGTTGAGGGGTGCAGAGTGGTGGAAGCATGGGGTTGGAGTTCGTCTGATTCTGGGGTGAATTGCTGCTGGAGGAGCATCAGTTGTTGCTGCTGCAGTAGCTGCATGCTGGGGGTGCGGTTGTGACCGATGGGTCCGAAGGAACGAGTAACAGGCACAGCCGCACGAGGAGAGCACCTCAGAGAGCCAGAACCAGAACCAGATACACCTGCACCAGCCGCCCCTGCCCTTGCAGAGCCTAGTCTCTGGTGGCTGGAGGCCCCAGCAGCAGCACCAGCAGCACCAGCAGTAGCAGCAGCTAGAGCTTCTTCTCTCTCGAGCTGGAGCTCGAAGAAAGAGATGCGGTCCAGCAGGCGCAGCAGAATTAGGGCGGCTGTAGCGGGGCGCCACACGCTCACCGCGGCAGCGAGGCCGACAAAAACGAGGATGTTGTCGTGGTGGCACCGCGAGCCCAGGAACTGATCGGTGTAGCCCCTCTCTGCTGCTGCTGCTGCTGCTGCTGCTGGTGCATCAGACGCGAGTGCTGCAGAAGGGAGAGGAGAAGGAGAGCCTAAATCAGCGATAGTGCTGCTGGTATTGGTGGTGCTGCTGGTATTGGTGGTGCTGCTGGTATTGGTGGTGCTGCCAGTGAAATCAACATCGCCCAAATCAACACCACCACCACCACCACCGCCGCCGCCACCACCACCACCACCGCCACCACCAACACCACCACCACCACCACCACCACCACCACCACCACCACGACGGCTGCTTCCACCAACATTCACACCAGTGACAGCAGTGGCAGCGGCGACAGCAGGAACAGCAGGCAGGGCATGCAGGTGGCAGCAGAGCGCCATGGTCACCAGCTGCTCCTGAATGCTGCCCTCTGGGTCCCACACAAACACCTGCGCCACTGCCGCTGCCGGTGCTGCCAGCACTGCCCTGCCCTCTGCACCCCTCCCTCCCTCCTCCCCTCCTCTGCCTCTGCCTGTGCCTCGCCCCCCTCTCCCCTCCCCCGCATACGCAAGGCGGCCACTGCCCCCTTCCACTGCCGCTGTCGTCAGCGCCTTGCCATACACCCCTCGCTCCTCCCCTTCCTCTCCCTCTCCTTCCCCCATACCCCCACCAACACCTCCAACAACACCTGCAGCACTACCAGCTTCCATGCTCATCCACCTCTGGGGGCGCGAAGGGGGACCAGCCAGGCCAGCACTTCCACTCCCACTGCTGTCCCTTGTGCTGCCGGACCTACCCAACCGTCCCTCCCTCGCTTCCCCCCTCCCCTCCCGCCCCTCCTCGCCCTGCACCCTGCCCCTTCCCATTCCTCTCCCACCCTCCCCCACGTGACCACCCTCGTCTCGCGTTCCCTCTCCCGCCTCCTCGTCCCCCTCGGTCACCACCCCTGCCAGCAACCCAGCAGCCTCAGCCAGGTCGTCTTGAATGCGGCTGAACCCAAGGCCAGCTAGGTCCTCCAGCTCGGGGGCAGTGGTTGAGGAGATGGTAGAGGCAAGGCGGAGCAGCACCCCCCCCTCGCGTGTGCTCCCCCCTTCCCGGATGCTGCTGCCGCGACTGCCCACTCGAGTGGTGACGAGACCGCGGCTGCTGCTTCGGCTGAAGCTTCGGCTGACACTGCTGGTTCGGTGGATGCTGTTGGATCGGTGAATGCTGTTGGTCCGGCTGACACTGTTCATTCGCCCGAAGCTATCTCTATAGGCCCAAGACTCCAAGCCTATCCCCGTACCATCCTCCTCACTCAACCCACCCAACGAATTCTGCCTCCCCATACTTCCACCCCTTCCTCCCCCCCCTCCTCCCCCCCTTCCTTCTTTACTCAACCAAGCCCCTGAGGGAATCCTTCTCATGTGCTCTTCCCCGTCCCCCTCCCAATCCTCTCTCTCCTCTCCCTCCCCCTCCTCCCCCTCCTCCCCCTCCTCCCCCTCCTCCAACACCTCCTCCTCCTCTTCCTCCTGTGCCCACTCTGGCTGCCCGTCCCCCCACTGCTCCCAGAACCTAAGCCACACAGCCAGCGCTACAGTAAACGCCTCGCTGATGTGGCGCTCTCTCAGCCTATCAGAGAGCTCCGTGGCGGTTCGGAACTTCCCACAGATCCACTCAAAGTCCCGGTGAGCCGCAGCTGACGACGAGGCTCGGATCATCGACCCGAGCCTCCCACTGCTGCTGCCGAGCCTGCTGCTGCTGCCGCCGAGGCTGTCGGAACGCATCCGAGCCAGACTGAAGCCACCTTCCCTGTACACCTCCTCTCTACCCTCCCCACCCTCTCCATCTCCCCTATTCCCCTTATAAACATCCTCACGAACCCACTCATCCTGATCTTTCTCCCCGAATCCCCCCACCCCCCGCCCCCACCCCACACCATCTCCACCACCACCATCATTCGCAGATGCGTCCCCAGCCGTCCGATTGACCATCAGCTCAATCTCATCATCCACAGACTCATCTCCAGCCGTCCGTTTAACCATGAGATCGAGCAGATCCATGAACAGCAGCGTCCAGTGCTCCCGGCACCTCTGCGCCCTCGCCCTAGCCGCCCCTATGGGCCCAAACTCTCGGCACTGCCAGGCACCACCACCGCCACCACCACTACCACTCCCACCACCCCCACTGCTGCTGGTTCCTGAGAAGCCAAAGGGCGTGGGCGGGGCGGAGCGCTGGGGGCCCGAGAGGGGCAGGTGCCTGAACTGGAAGCCGGAGCTGCCAGGGCGAGCGATGCTCTGCGACGCCGACAGATCAAAAGCGCCTTTCGAGGTGTCGAGAATGCCCCTGGACAGCTCAATTCTGCCGCTGGACGATTCCACACCGCCTTGAGAAGGAGCCTCAGGAAAGCCACTCTGCTGGACTCTGCCACCACCAGGGGATAACGCTTCACTAGCACCGGCGTCTGTGGCTGTGGCTGGTACACCAGCAGCACCAGCAGCAGCAGCAGCACCAGCAGCAGCCTTGAGGGAAGCATCCACGTGATTGCTATCTCGCTCATCTCCATCATCGCTATAGAGGTCCTCCTCACCCCCTCCTGCTGTCCCTCCCACCACCCTCGACTCTGCCCCTCCTCTCTCATTCCTCGTGCCCCGTCCTCTCTCCACCACTGCCTCCCCCCCCTTATCCCTCACTCGTATCCTCCTGCCTGCGAACACCAGCTGTGAACTCGCCCCTTCCTCCTCCACCTCCTTCCCTCCTGGCATCACCACTCCTCGTTGTTCCTCCCCACCCCCCCTTGGCTCTCCCTGCTCTCCCCTTTCCACCTCCTCCTCTCCCTGCCCATCTTCCAAAGGCTGATTTCGTGCTGGTTCAGACAAAAGCTCTGAGGGGGTGGAGGGGGGTCCTGAGCGGTCAGAGTGGGGTGCTGACGGGTTGGATAGGGTTGAGAGGGGCCGCACAGGGACGCGCACTGTAAGCAGGTGCCTTGCAAAGTCAAACTCGTCCATGCTGCTGGGTATGCTGCTGTCGTGCGGGCTGCTGACCTGTGCACTGCTGACCTGTGTGCTGTTGACCTGCATTGACCCCGTTGACCCCATTGACCCTGGTAACTCTGCTAACCCCATTGAATCTGTAGATTCTGCTGGCCCCATTGGCCCTGCCGACTCTGTAGGCCCCATCCCCAGACCCGCCTGCCCCAGATCTGCCATGCTGAAGTCTCGTTGCAAACCAGGCGCAGCAGCGGCAGGAGAATCTCCCACGCCTGCAAACGACCTCGCAGGTGTTGCCTGCCCCAGATCTGCCATTGTGAAGTCTCGCGGTAATGCAGGCGCAGCACCAGCAGCAAGAGAGTCCCCCACGTCTGGAAGCGCCCTCTCAGGTGCTGCCGGCCCCAGATCTGCCATTGTGAAGTCTCGTGGTAAAGCAGGTACACCCACAGCAGGAGAATACTCCCTTCTCTCCACCTCTGTTACAGTCCCCTTCTCGCCCCCCCCCTCTCTTTCTTCCCCTCTTCCTGACTGCACCTCACTACCTTTGCTGCGCCTCTTCTCTCTCCCTTTCACACCCCCCTGCTTGCTCCACTCCATCCCTTCCTCTGCTGCTCCTGCCTCTTCACCCCTCTCCCCCTCATCCCTCTCCTCTTCAATCCCCCCCCCTTCGATCCCATCCTCTTCCCTCCTCCCTCCTCGTCTCTCCTCTTCCCTTCTCTTCTCATCCCTCCTCATATCCTTCCCCTTCCCTTCCCTCCTCCCATCCTTCGTCTTACCTTCCCTTCTCCCATCCCGCTTCGCCCCCTCCTTCCTCCCACCCACCTCGTCCCCTTCCTTCCTTCCCTCTTTAATTCTCCTAGATGTCACCTCACCTCCTCCCCCCTCCTCTTTCCCTCCAACAATACCATTCCGCCTGCTGCTACTCTTCCCCAGCCTTCTCCCATCACCACTGCTTTGGCTGACACTTATACCCATTCTATCACTGCTGCTCTGATCCTTGCTTGTGCTGCTCTCACCATCCGGCTTGCGTCTATTCATTCTCCCACTGCTCTGACTGGCACTTCTACCCATTCTTTTACCACCGCTGTGATCCCTAGTACCACTGCCAGGGCTGTCGATCGCACCGATACTGCTCTGGCTACGCGGAGTATCGAGACTCGCACTTGCGTTGCTCTCTGTCCTTGCTATAGAGCGAGAAGCATTACTGTCTGTCCTCCCTATAGAGCATGACGCGTTACTGTCTGTCCTGCCAACAGAGCCCGATGCGTTACTGCTGGGGCTAATAGCAGCATCGTCGCTTGCACTCTTCTTTGCCTTCTTAACCTTCCCCACACTTTTCTCGCCCTTAACGCTCTTGCTCTTCCTCAACTCCTTGGCACTGCCACTCCTCATGCTTTCACGTCTCGTGCTTTCATCTCTCATACTTTCACCTCTCGTGCTTTCATCTCTCATACTGTCACCTCTCATACTTCCACTTCTTGTGCTGCCGCTGCCCACGCTACCACTTGGCATAAGCACCACCGCACCCCTGTCTCCGTCCCTCCCTGTTTCCCCTCCCTTCAACCCTCCATCGCCTCCTCTCACTCCTCCCTCTCCTATTCCCAACCCCGCCTCACCCTCTCCAAGCATCTCAAGAGCTCCAACCTCACTTCCCCTCTCCTCTCTCCCACCCTTGTCCCCCTTCGCCTCTCCTCCATCTCCCTCCCTTATCCCCTGCCCCTCCCCCGCCCCTCTCTCCTCCATCACCTCTGCCATCTCCGCTCCTGCCTCTCTCCCTCTGCTGGTACTCCCCTCACACGCAGTAGCAGCAGACGAGGCAGCAGAAGCATCCTCTGCACTTCGAGCCTCTTCATCCCCACCCCGCTGACCTCCTGCCTTACTCTCCCTCACTCCAGCCTCTGTCACGCTGATCCCGCTCGCTTTCTCCCACTCTTCTAGCTCCAGCCGCCCTTCCCACTCCGAGTCCTCCCCTCCCTCATTCCCTCCCCGCCCCACACCCCCAGAACCACCACCCACAGTACCACCAGCGCCACCACCAGCGCCACCACCAACGCCACCGCCACCATCACCTCCCCCCCTCCTCTCGCCTCCTGCACTCATCATCATTCTCTCAAAGTCCAGCGCTGCCAGGCTCTTCCCCCTCATGGACCTCGCCCCCAGCTGCCTTCTCTTCGCCTGCAGCAAAGGGCTGTTAGCACCCGTTGCCCCACCCCCACCAGCAACAGCAGCTGCCGCCACTGCTGCAGCTGCTGCCATTGCAGCACCGGCCGAACCTCCTCGGAAGGACCGGGAGAGCGCGGCCGAGCCTCCGAGCCCCGAACCTCCTACTGCCGAGCCTGCCCCTGCCGAAACTCCTGAAGGTCCGAGTCCGAAATCGTCTGCTCCTGCAGCAGCAGCGTCCTTCCACCCTCCCTTACCCCCAGGGGCCCTCGGAACTCCCCTTATAGTCACCATCGCATCGAAAGTGGCGCTTGCCCCGTCAAACAACGACTTGGAATGATGATGGTGCCGTTGGTGCTCCTGCTGCTGCTGCTGCTGCTGCTGCTGCTGCTGCTGCTGCTGCTGCTGCTGCTGCTGCTGCTGCTGCTGCTGTAGGTGTTGCAAGTGCTGCTGCATGAAGGAGGGGCTTTGCTGGAAACGAGAGGCTGGGGAGGAGCCGTGAGACACAGGGAGAGCAGGCGGGGGCAGATCGATCCCAGATTTGGAAATAGGGATGGCCTTGGAAGGATGGGTGGGCATAGACGCCAAGAGGCGGGATGGAGACAAGGACGACACAGGGGATGCTGGCACTGACACGGGTGACGCTGATGGTGAGACCGGCTGCGATTGAGTCGCCTCCCCGGCCCTTTTTTCCTGGAGGCCCCCATGGGGGGGTGAGAGGGCCGCTGCAGGGCTGCTTGAGCGGCCATCAGGCTTCGCCTCCAGTCTCCCTTCTGACAGGGATGATGACCGCGTGGGGCGGGGCGGCCGGTGAGGTGATCGTGCCGGGGTCACGGAGGGTGAGTGCCCAGGTGAAGATGCAGGAGCTGGAAAAGTGGGGTGCCCAGGTGAAAATGCAGGGGTTGGAGAAGCGGAGTGGCCAGGTGAAAACGCAGGGGACATGCCAGGTGATCTGCCAGGCGAGAGCCCCACAAGCTCGGCTCCTTCGCTCCCTCCCCTCCCCCGCACATGCCCTGCTGACCTCATGTCTGGCATGCGCACTGCAATACGCCCTGCCTCAGAACCTACCTGCCCTTCAGTTCCTGCCTGCCCTCCCTTCCCTCCCTGCCCTCCCCTGGTCCCTCCCTGATCCACCCCTGGCGTATCATTCCCCACTGGAAACTCGTTACTGTCAGACGCGTTACTAGCAGCAGGGTGGCATGAAAAGACATCTCTCCCACCAGTGGAGACAGTTGTGCCCCCAGCATCCTCCTCTATACTGCACAGGCTGCTTCTCAGACTCCCACTGCCGCTCCTGCTCCTCCTCCTCTCCGCCCCCATCCCCTCCCTATGCCTTCCCTCCCCAGTCGCCCTCTCTGGCTCCCTCCCCCATGCCTCTTCCTGCTCCCCCTCCTTCCCGCCCTTACCCCTTCCCTCATTATCTACGAATCCAGAACGCTGATTCTTATTGCCCCTTGCCTCCCGCCCATCCCTCTCTCCTTCTGCCTCCCCACAATTCACTTCCATCCGCTCTTCTCTCCCACCCTCCCCCTCGCCTCCCCCCTCCCTCTCGTCGCCGTCAACCCTCCCCGCGTCCTTCCCGCTCCCTGGTCGTTGCATGGACCGCCTGATAGCTATGGCTTCCATTAACGAGCCCGGCTCGCGGATGTAATCGTCTAACGCCACTCCTTCATCGCTGCATTCATCATCCTCGATAGCAGCTTCCTCGCTATCAGCATCGCCACCGCCACCACCACTACCGGCACCTTTCCCAGGCTCATCCCTGTGTCTATCTTCCCGCTCCGTGCCTTCCCCCTCCCCGTGTCTTTCTCCCCCTTTCCGCGGCGATTTCCCCCCGCCCCTGCCAGCTTTTCCGCTCCTGGTTTCCTCTTCCGCGTCTGTCTCCCCCTCAGCCGCTCCCCCTTCCCCCGTCCGCTTCTTCCGCTCCTCCCGCCGGTTCTGCAGGCGGTGAATCCGCTCCGCGCGTTCCGCCATCTCCTCGGGTTCCCAATCTCCTGCCACCATTCCACTGTGCGGAAAGAAGCACGCGCGGAAGCTCCCCGCGCCCAGGGTCGCGCGGCGCATGGCGCGCGCCTTGCTCTTACTCTTCCGCGCAGCTTTCTCCCGCGCAGACACCCCGCTCGCGGAGCTTCCGCTGGCCGTTGCGCTGATACTCGCGTCGGCGCTATTCACGGCGCTGATTGGGGTGCCAGCTGTCGACCCGGCGTAGCTGCTGGGGATGCTGCTGCTGCCGCTGCTGATGGCGCCATCGCTGAAAAAAGCGGCGGGGAAAAAGGAGTGCACGTGCTGACTGCTGCTGCTGCTGCTGCGGTTGCTGCTGAGCTCGTTATTGGCAGAGCGGTAACTAGCAGACTTGCTAAACAGCCACCGACGATCCCTCGGCCGCCCTTTATTCGCTGCTGCTGCGGCAGCAGCGGCGGCGGCGGCGGCTGCAGCTGCTCCAGACTCGTTATTCGCATCTCCCGATTCAGGAACGCTCGGAGTGCCGTCACGAGAGCCTCTTAACGAAAGCATGAATCGGCGGCTTCGTGGTTTAGTTGGAGACGTTAGGCTGGCTGCGCGGGGAACTGTGTTCTGTGGGTCGATAGAGGGTTTGCTGACCATAACGCTGCCGCTTCTAACGGGGATACTCGTGGAATGCGGACTGTCGTTTAACGAGTACTCTGGGGACAGGCTATCCGAACCCTGTCGAGAATCCTTCAAATTTGCCATTTTCCGTCGAACACCTGCTTGCCTCTCTTCACGCCTACCTGTTCCGACGCCGCAGCAGGCGCTTAGCAACTCAATTTGCCATTCATCGGTAGGCAAAAACCTAAAAATCGCTGACAAACCAAACTTTCAGGTCAAGGTCTAGGACAACTAGAGACGTATATCATTGCCCGTGTCCCCCCCTCTGTCGCGCAAAAAGTAGGTTAGGGAGACACACGACACGAAGCCACCATGCCTTGTGGCACCCTAGAGATGCAAATCCTGCAGCACGCTGAACCCAAGGCCCCATTCTGTGTGTCGGGGTGAACCTAGGTTTCATCCTGGCTGATGAATCATGACGACAACAGTTCCCCAGGGTTCCATCGAGCCGTACGCGGTAGTGCGGCGATCTTCGTAGAAAAGGGATGCTTTGACTGATTAGAGAGAATCCAAAATCCCAGGTCTCTTCTTTCCATCCACAATAAGTAGTCTCAACCATATCCAGACCATTAGCACAATGCATTCCATGAATAAAAATATATTGTTTTATTATTGAATATTATTACGATGGTTCTTTTACTTCGCTGCGAATCGCCAACAATTATGTTTGCTTGTTGTCTCCACACAGCATTATATTAACTCAACTACACCCATCCACCCCATCCCTAGCGGCCCCGCGGCCCCGTCACCTAGCGGCCAGGCCTGACGTTTCAAAAAAACCCCCCCTGAGCTGTCGACTAAAAAAAAAAATTTACCCTGAGGGCTCGGTGTTCAAAATTTGCCTACCCTGATTTGTAAGTGTTCAGAAATCAAGAACCCTGAAAATCCCAGGGTTCACCGAACGCATTCAGGGTTGCCTTCAACACGAGGGGGGAATAACAAATGGGGGGAAAAAGGGGAGGGAATCAAACCGAGGGGAGGGGAAGAGCGAAACGGAGGGGAAGGGGGAGGATGGAAAAATAGGGGAAGAGAGGAAGCGAAACGGGGAGGGAAAAAGTGGGGGGAGGGGGGGGGTTTCGAAATACAGTAGAGAGGAATGGGAGAAGCGAAACGGAGGGGAAGGGGGAATCGAAACAGAGGGGAAGGGGGAATCGAAACAGAGGGGAGAGGGGAAGCGAAACTGAGGGAGAGGTGGGGATCGAGGCGAATGGGGCAGTGGCAGAAACCTCTCACGCTTGCAGCGCCATGGGCAAATCGAGGACGTAAATCATACGCGATCATCTAACGGCTGAAATTTGTCGAAACGATCGCGATTGATCGTGGGCGTCAAAGTTTGATGGACTTTTAGTTGACCACACGGGCAATAAAAAAACTTTCCTTAAGAAGGGAGCATTGTCGCTAGTACCCTTCTATCACTTGACCGTTAGCCTTTTTAATGGGTAGTGGGAGTGTGGGAGGGGGGATAACTTGTGTACAATAGGACTAAGCCGTTTTTTTTTTTTTTTTTTTGCTGTCACTGCCTATCAAGACTTATCTAATTTTTGTGGGTTGTTGTTAGGTGTGTAAGGGGGATGTCTGTACGACACATGACTTCGCCGATTTTTGTGGGTTGCTTGGTGTGTGAGGGAATGTTTGAGGACTTCACCAATTTTTGTAGGTTGTTGCGTGTGGGGGGGAATGTCTCTGGAGATTGGGGACTTCGCCTAAATTTCCGCATTGTGAGCCACATGGATGTCGCACTCAGGGTTCGTACGCGTTACTCCATGAAAAATCAGTGTTGGGATAACGCAAACCCTGAAATTCTCAGTGTTCACAGACATACAACCCTGAAGAGGTTAGGGTTAAAAAAAGCCCAACCCTGAAAATTAAGGGTTGGCCAAAAAAATACCCTGTGAAATCAGGGAATCAGGGTAAAATACCCTGATAACGACAGGCCTGCTAGCGGCCCCGCGGCCCCGTCCCCTAGCGGCCCTGCGGCCCTGTCACCTAGCGGCCCCGCGGCCCCGTCCCCTAGCGGCCCCGCGGCCCCGTCACCTCGCGGCCCCGCGGCCCCATCACCTAGCGGCCCCGCAGCCGCGTCCCCTAGCGGCCCCGCAGCCCCGTCACCTCGCGGCCCCGCGGCCCCGTCCCCTAGTGGCCCCCTGGCCCCGTCCCCTCGCGGCCCTGCCGCCCCGTCCCCTAGCGGCCCCGCGGTCCAGTCACCTCGCGCCCCCCCCCCCCCCCAGCCGGCCTCGTCTCCCTGCCGGTCCCGCCTCTTTGCCGGCCCCGTCGCCTTGCTGTCCGCGGCCTCGTCTTCTAGACGCCTCGCCGCCGTCCTCGGCCGCTCTGCACCGCACGGCACCGCACTCCACCACACGGTACCGCACTACACCGCTCTGCATTGCACTACACCGCACTGCACTACACCTTACCGTACTGCGCCTCCCTCCACCGCACAGTACTGCACCGCACATCACCGCTTTCTCCCGCGCTCTCCTGCCCAGTACTGTATTTCTCCTGTTGCTGCAACAATGATGGCGGACTCGGTCCTGCATTTTGATGCTGAGGGGCAGCCGATTGAGTTCGACTCGTGGCTCGTCGACCTCCAGCGACAACTGACTGGTCACCGGCAAGACGGCCACTCCCCGACCGTCCACATTGACGGTACGCTCCCCTGCCTGGACCCCCCTGCTGCCCTCCCCGCTGACCCCACCTCTACTGACCGTGAGTCCGCTGCAGCTGCTGCCCTTGCCCGTGCTGTCTAGTTGTCGCGTGACGCTGTCGCACAGCTTGCAATTAGTCATGCCCTTCCCCTGTCCGAGCGCCCCTGCTTTAGGTTTGTCAGGACTGCGCAGGAGTTTCTAGAGGCTGTTGTTGCGCGCTATTCTATTCCGCCCTCTGCCTCTGTAGGTCGCCTGATCCTGCCCATGCTGTTTCCTGACCTTGCGTCTTTCCCCACTGTCGCTGACCTAGCCGCCCACCCACGCACGCTTGACACGACCTGGCGGGCTGCCTGCACTGAGGCTCAACTTTGTGTGTTTCAGCCCCCCATCTTCTCTACCCTCTACCTGCTTGCCACCCGCCTCCCTAACCGCCTTGCCACCGCTCGCGATCACTTTCTTAGTCTCCACCCCGCTGACCTCACCCTCACTGACTTAGTCAACAACCTGTCTGCCATAGAGACCCGTCAGCGCTCTATCGCCCAGTCTAGCGGTACTGTGTCAGTCTCTATTTTTTAGGGCTGTGCCCCTGCTCAGTGCTCTTACTATGACGGTTCTGTTGCGGTTGCTGAGACAGCTCCGGCTGAGAAGACAGCCGCCGCAATGCAGTTTCGTCCAGGTAAGGGTCGCCGCCCCAAGGCTTGGTGCGGCGGAGGTAGCGGAGGAGGGGGTGGTGCCGGTGGTGGAGGTGGCTCGCCCGCTGGTAGTACTGATGAGGGGGCTGGAGCTGGTGCCCTGGAGCAGCAGCCCCAGTAGCAGCAGCACCAGGCTCCGCAGCTGGACCAGCAGCAGCAGCCGCAGCAGTAGCAGCAGCAGCAGCAGCAGCGGAGGGTCGGCCGTCTCCCGCCCAGGTGGCCTGGCGCTGTAGGTGACGGTGCTTGCAGTAGTCGCTCGCGCGGGGTGTCGTCGGGTGGTAGTCATAGTGACGGGCGCTGCCATTACCAGCTCCAGACCGGTCCTCGCCGCGGCCTCGTGTGCGGTAAGATCGGCCATACCCCCACTCGTTGCTTTCGTCGCCTAGACGACCTGTTGCGTCTCCGCTTCTGCCCGTTGCCTGACCTCCCCAACTGGCACAGTCTGCTCCGTTGTCGTGTTCAGATATTTGATATGGACATGGAAGAGATTAGCTCTGCTTTGTATGCGCTGTATGTTGATGACTCTAGTGTGACTAGTTCCTATTACCCTGTGTTGCCTAGCGTAGGTGTGCCCAGTGTGCCTAGTTCAGGCTCCCCTGCTGCGTCAGGCGTAGGATCCCCTGCCTTGTTTAGCCTAGGGTCCTCCCTCGCTCCTCCGGCCTCTGTCGCCTCTGCCGCGCTCTCCTTTACCATGGACACTGACGCTCCCCAGTGTTTCTTTAGCGACTCCACGATGCTTACGCCGCTTGCCGCTCCTGCTGCAGTTGCTCTTGCAGACCCTTCCTCCGGTCCTGCAGTTGCCCGTAGCTCCACTGCTCTCCCCTGTCCGGCGGTTCCCTCAGGCTCCCTTACAGGCCTGCACATCCCCTCGTTCTCTAGGAACCTAGTTGGTGTCGGCTGCTTCCAGGACCTTGGCGTCACCACTGCGTTCCCTGGGCACGAGCGGTACGCTGTCTGTACTGAGGCCACCACTGGTGCCCCCCTCACAACGTTCCCCCGGGACCCAGTGTCTGGCCTGTTCACGCTGGACACCGCTTCCCCCCCGGTTGGGATGCCTCCCCAGGTACCTGCATCTTTCCAGGTTTCTGCGGCATGCTCGTATCGGTCGCTTACTCACCCGTCACTTCTGTGGCACCACCGTCTAGGTCACCCTGCCCTCACCCGTCTCCGTCACATGTTCCAGTACCGTCTTGTCCTAGGCCTCCCTGAGCCGTTCCCTGCACTCCCCTCCTCACCCGCGCCTCCGTGCACACCCTGTGTCGAGGGTCAGCTCCGCTATGCCCCTCACTCCTCCTCGTTCCCCCTTACCTCCGCACCGCTGCAGACCCTGCACATGGACGTCTGGGGCCCCGCCCCCGTCCATGGGCCGCGTCCCGAGCGCTACTTCCTAGTGCTTGTCGACGACTATACCCGCTACACAACCGTCTTTCCCCTAGAGCGGAAGGCCGACGTGCCTCATGTTCTTCTCCCGTGGCTTGTCTCTGGGCGTGTTCACTGAGGTCTCCTTGTCTTGCATCTTCACTCCGACCGTGGTGGCGAGTTTGCCTCTGGCTGCCTTGGTCACTTCTGTCGTGCGGAGGGCATCACCCAGACGTTCACCCTGTCGAACTCCCCGCAGCAGAATAGGGTCACTGAGCGACGCATCGGTTTGGTCATGGAGGTTGCTCGTACCTCCATGATCCATGCCGGTGCACCCCATTTTCTGTGGCCGTTCGCCGTTCGCTACGCCGCTCACCAGCTTAACCTCTAGCCGCACCCTTAGTGGTCGCAGGTTTCGCCGACCCCCCTCTGAACCGGGTCCCCTGGTGACGCGTCTGCGTTCCACGTCAGGGGCTGCCTTGCTCACGTTCGTGCCTCTCGCATGGACAAGCTCAGTTCCCGCACTGTCCCCTTTGTCTTCCTAGGTTTCCCCCTGGACTCGTC